CCAAAAAAAAATAAATATTTCCAATATAATTTCAATTAATTATTAAACCTTAAATTTTATCAAAAAAAATAAAATAATATAATATTTTTTTTCCAAATATTTATATTTAAAGAAATTAATATTTATAAAATATTATCAATAATTTATTAATTATAAAATAAAATATCGTTATTCAAAAAATTCCTCAATTTTCTGTATTTTCCAAAAACCAATGTCCAGCCAATACATATCTTAATATCCGTGAATTTTAATGACTATTTATTTAAATATTTTTAAATTAATTTCGGGAAAGCCTCACCATCCAATTTTTTGCATAAAATCAGAACATCTAAATTTTCAAAGATAAATATCTTCTGTAAAAACGTCTTTGGGAAAGCCTGAAAATACCCGGTTTTACACAACAAATTCTGTAAGTGTGGGCTGTCAGGGGTAGTAAGAATAATTAATATATCAAAAATTATACTAATATATATATGTGTAGATATTTTTCCATCGACATTATTATTTATCATGATTTATTATATTTTATTATTATTTTTATCAACTTCATGTTTTCATTTTTAACTTCAATAAAATAAGGTTTACCAATTCCTCAAGCGTTTCATCTTGCGAAGTTGAGAAGCTCCACGCCTTCCGGCGTCGTGAAACAGGAGCAGGTTTTGGACTTGATCCTTTCCATATCATCGGCAAATCCAAATTTGAACACTGGAAAATCGATGAAAATCGGAGATCAACAAATAATGGGGGTTTTCTGAAATAAGGGTACCCCAAAGCATTGGTTTCCCATTTATAATAAACAAGTTTGGATGATTTTGGGGTATAGTACCTTCAGAATAGGAAATCTCTAAATACAGTGAGCCCGACTGTATCAAGGATCTTCTTGGAAAAACTTATGGATCGACTCTTTCCTGACCGCATTCCAGTGCCTCGACAGTTTGCGGATCACCCAGTGTATCTGCACGGCTTTTGGATCACAACTCAAGCTTCCTTCCGATTTTTTGTTCTCTTGATTTAGCTTTTGACTTGGGCGGATGAATCATTGTCCCAAAAAGGCTTCGATGGAGATCTCAATCCAGGAAGAGCTCACGTTGGCCTTTTCGTAGAAGGCAAACATGAGTGCCGCATGGGAAACCGTTTGCAAGAGCTTCGGGACAAGACCATAGTACTGGCAGAGCTGTTGGAACAAACAAGTTTGCTCATTGCATGCTTCTGGCAGCAAAAATATGTGCAACTTTCAGGCCGAACAACCAAGTACTGGAGTCACTGGAACCACTAACACATGTTGGGAGGACCATAGCACCCAAACCTTTTGCTTGGAGTTCGCGAAGGCACTGCACCTGGGGTGCTAGCTCAATGTTTGGCCAGCCACTGGTCTTCCCTATCCTTCCATGTGATGAAGCTCTCTACGTCTTTCATTTCCTGTCCAAGCGCACAACAAACAGCACAAGCCAAAAGCATTGTGCTGCAGAGACCCATTTTGTCCCACGGCAAAGAACTCTGCTGGCACGGTGCTTCAAAACCATGACGACACCGCAAGAGCTCAGGAGGACGTACAAGAATGAACTTGTCAAATTGTGAACGACCTGGGCACCTCCTGAGACCTGTCATCCATTCGACTGTGTTAGATTGAAAAGCTGTCTCAGCTGCGAATCAGAAAGACCAGAGATAGCCTTGCAGGCAAAACAAGCATGCAGATCATGCAGCATGTAGATTTCCAGCCATCTGAAGAGCATTCCCATTCCCTGACTCTCATACAACGAACTTATTGCCAACATCTAGAGGCAAATGTTGGTCTGAGCTTTACCCTGGCGTAGCAGGCGTAGCATCTCAGAAATAAGTGAACTTCGAAGGATCTTAGCTTTCCGGTCTTTTGTCTTTTGGAGGAACATCTTTTTCAGCCTGGGCTTCGCAGCCTGGCAGCCTTTGTTGTGGTGGAGTGGTGGATATATGATGCATGTGGATATGATATGACTGTTTCATCTTCACACATTTTTTTCGATCAACTCACATCTCACCGGCCTGAGCAATATCGCCCGAGCCTCGAGCTGCCGAACAGCCGCTGTGTTCCGTGCAACAACTTCATGAACAAACTGACATTGCTCCTACTATACCGAAGCATACCGAAGCAATCTTTCAACTTGGAAAAGAACGCAAAGCTGTCAGAAGCTGTCATTCGATTCAGACCTATGATCCTAAACTGTGAATTGCAGTCCTAATCTTGCCATTCATCCTGAGCCATTCCGGCCAAGTTTCTCGAATTTCTGGACATGGTTGAATCAGCAAGGAATTTCCTAAGACAGAATGCATGAGCGCTGCAGCGACGTGGCATCAGAAACCCTGGTGAGCACCTACGCGTCCTTTACTTCTAACCTTTTGATTTCAATTCAAGCTTGTTTAGGCATGCTGCAAACGGAAAACCTACTAAGCCAGCAGATCTACCCCACCGGCTGCACTCAAAGCATGAGCGAAACCAGACCCGGACAAATGGGTTGGGGATGCTAGCGAGAGCTGCAGGAAACAAACACATGGACAAACCAAAAAAAAGGATAAACGCATTTTTCTCCTAACGACCTAAAGTAATGTAAAGTATGGAAGGTGCCCTGTGCTTTGCAATCATAGGCTGCAAATTGACATTACTCTCTGAAGCATTCCATCACGTTCCATCAAAAGACATCCAACACATGATACAACAGAATAATCAAGTGCAACATGATATGACTTTACATGACATACACTAATGACTTAAATACCCGGGGCATACCTACATGACGTTTGGAGTGAATGAGTTTAAGGTAGAGACTGTTACCTATACCCGTAGAATCTGCTTTGCACTTCAAAAATCATTTAAACCTTACATCATTTTGAACCTCAACACCACCAACTTGGCCCATTTTTTCGCACCTTTAGGTAATTAAAGTTATCCTGTTTGGTCCCAGCAGCCCAGCACATCCAGCACCACCTTCTCTGCGGTAGCTACCCTGCAAATTTATGGCTACATCAAAATAGCCATCCAACATTCACCCATACTCATACCGTCTTTTGGGACTGCGAGCATGTACAGCTCTGCTGGAATTATCATGAGTCATCATTCATTATAATGAATTCTCAAATTATTTATCATGGCTTGTCCCTATCAACATCTGATAATCATTCTTTCCTACATTATGGATCATGATTTATGCTTAAACGAACATCAGATGAATTACCCTCCGCTAAACTAACATAGCTATGGAAAATGGTCCATTTATAATTGATTTATCTATCAAAGAGTGGTGATTTCCAGTTATCTTAGTTTACCGGCGGGTATCCATGTTCTCTCCAATGTTTTCCACATTGTTTCCCCCAAGAGCTGCCGGGCGGCTTTCCTGCGACAATCTGCGCCAGACGTTCTTCGAAGGATCCCATGGTGGTGAAGCGGTGCACCAGCCTCAGGATTTCCAGGTGGAACCCCCTGGGTTTTTCACAGCAAAATAAGGCTTCTAAATTCCGGAGTCATGAACTTGGAGGGTTGAATTCTGGCCGTGTGGCACAGTGCGGTGCTGTCCTATGCGGTGTGCACGATCGGTTGCCTCAGTAAAACACATTAAAGGCACCGAAGCTATCTGAAACTATATATTCTATACACTTGAACGGCGAATATCTCAGCTCACTCAGGCTCTTGCCTGCGCTTCTTTGGCAGGATTCCAACAGCGATCAAAGTGAACAACATGGCTGGCTGCCGTGAGGTTCAGCCCTATGCCACCCGCCTTGGGATTTGATTTGGCTTCGTGCTTCATGCTTCATGCCATGAAAAACATGCACTTTGGCAAACATGTCTGGCCTTCAAAGTCAGGATCAGCACTCGACAGCTCGCATCACCAGAAAAGGCATCAACAGCCTCTCATGATCTCTGAACCAATTGAACATAAAAAGATGCTGCTCCATCTTTGTGTCAATGGCAGTTGCCCCAAGGAGAATCTCGGAAGAGCACACGAAGAGCAGCATGGAGGCTCAGTCCGCACCTTCTGCCTCTGATCAGAATTGAGGCCGCCGTGGAAGAGCAAAGGCCTGTTTTGCAATCGATCTGCCGAGGCAAACATTTCTGTAGCATTTTGGATCAAAACAATCTCCGCAAGCATCAACAACAATCAGGAGATGTATTGAAACTTTCGCACTGTTGGAACCCTTCCAACTCAGCATCGTCTTGACTGCCTCAGGTCTGGAAAGTGCTTCCCCAAAAGTTCAGCGAGAAGTTGCTGAGTATCACGGTATTGCCTCAGCATCAAAATATGTCACTGTGTGTCACCCTCATTTCAGGTATATATCTGAAAAGTCAAGTGACAACTGTGTCCTCGTTGTTTCATTTTGGAAGTTTAAAAAAAAACATAAATAAAATGTAATTGTGCATGTCCCAGATGGGTGGACAGGATTTCGGTTTCTTGCCACTTCTTCACACACAGAGCGGCTCACTTCTTTACAATAGCGGCTCACTTCTTTACAATTCAAGTTGAAGATCGGGTCATTTTGCCATTGAGACATTATATTGATACTTCAACCGAGTTAAACTGAGTTGAACTGAGGGACGTGAAAATCAGCACCTTTTCCTGCGAATCCTCCCAAATGCTTTGTAGGAGCTCCAACAGCTTTGTCCTGAGCTTTTTCCAGTCCAGTCTAGCCTTGTCACGCCGGTCATCGATGTGTTCAACTGGCCTAGATGCAAATCTTCTAGAACACAACTGACAGTGCAAGCATGACCCACAGGATGCGTGCCTTCGTAAGTTGAAGCTATCGACTATTTTGGTCAGCCATGAACATCCATGAACTTGAGGAACAACTATTTATATATATATAATATATAATTATATACAGTATATATAATTATATAATTATATATATATATATAATTATATGTATAATTATATATATATATATATATGTATATATAATTATATGTATAATTATATATATATATGTATACATTATTCAAAGCCTGGTGGCTTTCTTAGCAACACCGTTGCAAATCAAGGTCAATTTTGAGACAACCCCCAATATAATCCGAGACACATTTTGCCACTCTTGGAGACATCATGGGCATGCGCTTTGAGTTGATGTTCCCGTGGCATTGCAGCGGGGTGATTCACCACCTGGGCCCAGGTAGCGGCATAAAAGCGCCTCCGAATTGGACAGCTACAAAAGGGGGTTTCCATAAATGTGGGTAGCCCAATAGCTGGATGGTTTATACTGGAAAATCCTATTAAACTCTCATTTTAGAAAACCACCATATGATCTATACTGAATTCATGCCATTTTGAATGCGAATGCAGGCACCAAGCCTGTTGCAATCGGTGCAGCAACGTGAAGACTGCCCAGTATCGGCCGGAGCTGGACGACTTCCCCTGTCCCAAGGAAGTCCCCAGGGTCCCAAGTTTCGAGACCGTGCTTCAACAGTGTACATTTATGTACATTTATTACTGTATTTAGATCCATCACCATTTATCATCATTAAAATAAATGTCCATTTAATGATTAAAAAAAAACAAAAAATCATTTATCATCATTGATCTTCATTGAAAGCCCAATGGAAAGTCAGAATAGATGCCGCACCAGGAAAACAGAACATCTTTGGCGGTCAGATACATTGGTCTCCTGGCCTCCTGCAGCTCTTGCACATTGGTGTCTGGGATAGCACCTCCACGATTGGAGTGTTTGCTGAATGTCACAAATCGGAATCGCCATGGAAACCTTTTTTTGACCGGACGCTTTTCTAACCAAATTTTCTAGAATTCTAGGAGCTGTGTTTCGAAACTTCAACAACAATTGGAAGAAAGGCTTCATTGTCATAGTGCTTGGGCGGTGGCACGATTTCAACATATAATATCATATAATATAGCCCTCTGCCACAACCATTGCTATCTTCGCTCCGTACCTTCACGTGGGACTTTCTGAAGCAACTTCTCAGTCCATGCCGTGTAGAGCTCCGACTGTTCCTGAAAATCGTCTGTCACCATGGCTCTCGTTCTTTCTACATAGCCCACAAGGAGGTTTCTTAAGTCATGGGGATGGGGGGGTACCCTAAATCATCCATTTGTAGATGGATTTTCCATTATAAACCATCCAGCTATTGGGGTACCCCCCATCTATGGAAACCCCCACAAGGGCGGAGCCGGGCCCGCAAGGGACCACACGTTTTCAACATGAAGTGCCAAGGATTGCAGCAATGCTTTTGCCTCGGTCATCTCGACCATGTACTCATATTCCACCTGCAGTTCATGTTTCAACATGACCTTCCTACGGATTTTCAATCTTCAATCAGTCAATAAGAAAATGAAGTTACATCATTGCCTTGTCAGGCAGCTCTGGTGCGATGGCTTTGTCGTCCTTGAGACGCCTCACAGATCCAATTTCAGTTGGATCCCTTGCACCTGTCTATGACTTTTTCCAGATTTTGCAGGCTAAGTTCAACCCAGCTGTGCCTGAGCATAAATGGTCCTACTAGTGCTCGAAAACGTGCCAAAGCGGCCTCTCGGCCACTCGCCTGTCAGAATCTCTGCTCCAAAATCTTCAATTCACATGGGCAGTTTTGGATAGCGCACCAAACTTTAGTTTTATCAAACCTCTTTGCATTCTCATGAGCAAACTGTATAATAACATATGATATAATTACCATCTCAGTCCATTTTTGCATATTTTTGCTGCATCCCCAGGTTGCCTTGAAGCATTCGACCCTCTGGATCAACCCATGAGCGGACATCATGGGACTGCAACAATGGTTCAATTGCTCCATGCTGCCCTCTGCCGGCCTTTTGTAGCGGTTGGTTGAAGTTTTTCAAAAACTCTTCCTGATACACAAAAGGAAGCGACACATGGGGTGAAGCCATGCAAATATTTGGTGGCAAGGACAGCGCTGTCATCCCTGCTTGACATGAACATACTCCACTGGAAACAAGGGATGCTCGATGCATTCAAACCATGACCTTGTGGTACCATACCACCACAAGCTCCCAAAGAGTCAGCCTTGCTGCCAAGAAAGCCTGGATTAAGGAACTCAAAGATGGAAAATAGCTCACCCAAGTGATTTTCTATGGGTGTACCTGCGCATCCAAGGCTTCTTGGTTGCTTTGGCCCGCTGTCAGCAGTAAATGGCTCTTGAAAAATGATCACAACAGGAATTCTAGTTCATTATAGAACGTTATTTTCCTCTGTTTCTCTACAACTCTATCTATATCTCTAATATCTATATCTCTAATATCTATATCTCTAATATATATATATATGTATATATATGAACATACATGAAATGCTGTTGCAAGAACACATATCATTCACTTGCCTTAGATAAGGACACCTTACTAGATCAGATCTATGCAAAACCAATGACTCTGAAAAAAAAACAGCCGGCCTGTTAAGGCCACACGGGCACAACTGCTTCCGCACTCAGCTGCAACTTTCTTGACTGCCTCGCGTGCTTGGCATTCATGTAAGGTCAACATCTTTTTGCAAAAAAACTCCTTGGAGTTCTTGTTGTGCCTTCCATATCCTTACTGTATTTGATCAGTGAAGTCGCATATCCCCGTTCCACTGCAGTGGAGAAGGGGCAAGCAACACTGCAACGATCCTCTGTCACAAGTTGCGCTTAGGCTTGATTTGTTTTGACTTTAGGCATTTTTCTCCAAGAGACAAGGGTAAAAGTAACACATGTGGGTCAAAAAAAGACATTTTGTCTCCTCATTCATTGTCATTCTCTTAAAAATGCCACTCAATTTATTTCCATCAAAAGGAAATACATTGTTTACATTGATAAATCTCACTTAGGCTGACTTAGTGTCAAATCTGGGGATCCACAGTCTGAGTGATTGTCCGATCCATTTGTATCCTCTTGCGACATAAAACAACATTTCATCGCAGGATCTCATGATACCGGCTGGTTAATACTTATCCCCAGAATGGTATTTATGGACTATAAGTCATCATTAACCAACTATACATGGATTATATTCACTAATTACAGCACTAACTTATAAAGTTACTGTAAAAATCAGGCACTGTATGGGGACTTCAGGCCTGTGCGGTGAGGCTTTTCCTGTTCTTGATGTACTGGCCCTCGTCTAGGACAATGCAGGCAAAGCTGAAACCTACGCCGTGGTGAACGCAGGACTCGCGTTTGGCAAGCGGCACTTGTGATCTTACGAGAGATCAATCTTGATCATAGATATCACAGATCTACTTCTGGAGATTGGAAACTTTGCAAAAAAGTCATTGGATGGCTTTGGACATCTTTGGACATCATTGGAACTTCCCAGCTCAAGTTCATCCAAAATGATCCAAACATCTTCGGATCATTTTGCCTGACAGCATCTCCTGGTCCGTTTGCACCACTCCGTAGGTTGTGATCAGCACCTCACCTGTGTCACCTGCAAACGTGGATCATCTTGGAGATTCTTGGATCAACACACATACATGTATCTCTCTCTCTATATAAATCAATCAACATAATCAGTAGCTCTCTCAAACATTTAATGGTGGGCGCAGCAAAACTTATGAACACTTTCCCCACTTTGCACCGCACAGTGATCCATTTTGCACCTTCCAGAGATCGATCTTTACCATGGTAGAGCTGCGTTCTTACTGAGGGTGTCCAACGCCTTAAGGGCGTTGTGTTTCATGACAATGGGCCCTCTTCCACACTCAGGCCTCAAATTCTCAAAGGTCTGGGCCTGTCCTTTGTACTGAAACATCTTTCAACCCCCCCTTGTTTTCCTCCATCTCCACAACTGTTTTCTTGTTACCTCCGGACTGATCCCATTGTGAAGTACCACCCTTTGTTAGTCTTTGTTCACGGTGCCAGCACTAACGTCCGCTTCTGTCATCTGACGAGGCTCCGCAGTTCTGACTGCCAGTTTCGCAGGACCGAGAAAGGCACCACCACGAGGGCAGGCTTCTCTGCCGTGATGTGACCTCTATGTCTCCGGGTCGCATGGCATGTGGCGTAGCACGTCCACATGCAGAGAAGGACATTGTGCCATGATATTATGACGTGAGTATACGTGAGCCATGTGCTGCTGTGCTACGGCAAAGATTCAACATGGTGTGAAAGACTATGAAAGGCTTTCCTAGCCAACTCCCCTCACAGTAGCGGGTGAGTTTGTCGCACTTGGGAACAAATTGTTGCTTTGCAAATGCCACATCCCTGCCTTCGTCTCGAAGGTACTGCAGAAGAACAGCAGACTGTAGGGTCTTTCCCAAGCCCATGTCATCGGCCAGCAAGCTCCCTGACGCCACATTTGTGGAGATTGTAGAGGGGATTTGACTCTGGCACTGTTGATCTTGGAGTGTGTGAAAGGCTTTGCTGCAACAACAACATCAGTAATTACACAAAACCAGCGAATGCAACAAAAACTCTTTGTCTTGCGTTGACTGCAGACTCCAGACCAAGATATCCAAGAGAATCCACTTGCCTCACGGCGTCTGGCCTTTGCTTCGTTTCCGTTTTAGAAACGCGTCTGGCCTATGCCGTTTTCAGCATTGGATGCCAACCACCTGAAGCCTTGGGCTTGGTACTTGCGCAGTTTTGCCTGGCACCCAACTTCCAAAGCCAGGGCTCAAGGTGAGGCATCTCTGAGGTTCTTCGAACAGGCTGTTTCTCTCTACAGGACCCCATCCAAAATGAGTACTGCACTCTATCCCATTGGTCCCAGGGTGACCCGATCCCCAAAAAACCCGGCCTGGAGGTTTTGAGGAACCTCCACTGCACGGCACTGCAAAGCTTTGCGGATCAACTGCTGCACAGCTGCCATCAGAAAAACCTGGACTGCTGGTGCCGAACTTCACGCACCTTCTTGGCTTTTATTTTTGGATATTTTTGGAATCATTTCCAGGTGATTTCCAGGTGTTACAACACGTCCAGTACTTTCACTATTCACGTCCAAACTTTTGTGGATCAAAACCCTGGTACCGATGAACTGTCCACACCAATAGAGAAGCCGGTGGCCATGGGGGTTCATCTACCAAACCAATCAATGCCAGGCGGGGGTTCATCCATTCAAAATATGATCTTTCATGATATTTCAATATCTTTCATAGGTTTTGATCCATCCCTGCATTTTGATCATTTTGCAAATCCCAACAACCCGTGAAAACATGGCACCTGGCTGTTAAAGCCCAACAGGCTCCGGATCAGCTGCAAGGCAGTCGGAACCTGGGCGATTTTCCAGTGTGACTGGAGGGCAACCGAGTAAGCATCATTGAATCCTGGTAATCCCACTAAATCACCATTAAATCACCATTAAATCACCATTCGTTCACTATTTTTCTTGCTGAAATCAAAGGAGGGTCTCGAAATCGCCAAGTTACAGCATCAGGCGGTTTCTTCCCATAGCGCTGAACTGTTTGGGCAGAAGACACGTCCACTTCTAGGTACCTCTGAGAAGCGCAAACAACGCGTGACTTGTGCACTGTTGAAAATCTGAAAGAATGTGTCTGCAACAGCCAAACACCTGTGCTTATAGGGTGCCATTTGCGCTCCGTGTTCCTGTTTGCGATTTCTAATCAATTCTGGTAAAGTGAAAAGCCCACCGATCCTTTCGATTTCAACGAAAAAATGCGAGACTTGAAATCTTGTGCTCTAGTTTATGCTTTTCATCTGCCATTCCATTTGGCTGTGGTTGGTCTCCTGATACGCAAGTGAATAGGTGGCTTACCGCAAGAGTAGCAAGCATGGTTGAGGAGCCTGAGCAAATCGACCTGATTGAGATCCAATTGCTTGTAAAATCGCCAGGACATTTTCTAATTTGGGTTTGTCCGAATATTATCGAACATTGAAGGGAACAAAAAACAATTCCAGTGGTCTATCATTATTTTTCCAAACAAATGGACTGTTGGTCTGCATGATATCCCCATGATAGTTGCTTAAATCCCCATGTTGGTTGGTTTTGCACAACCACATCAAGCACCATTTCAGCCTTGCGGCTTGCTGGCTAGGTCAGATGGTGACATCAGCACCAGGATCACTTTGTCGTTGTGTTTGTCGTTCGATGGCGAGCGAGCTTTCAGTGCCATCCTTGGTCGGGACGCGAGGGAGCTTACAATGCATCACGACGTGGGCTGGACAGTGACTCATTGTTCGTACACAGTAGTATACTATACATATATAGACATATATATATAGATACGTATGCAGATTGTATTTTACCATCATGACATATATTGACATATATTGTTGGTATATGTTGGTATAGTATGTATATCTATACCAGCACCCCCAGTGCCAATGGCCGTTTGACAAGGTCACCAACGGGAGGCCCCGGAATCCACACGTTTGCAAGGCCAAATGGACCACGTCTCCACTGGGAGGTTGTCGTCATATGTTGCTCCGAGTTATTCAGTGACCAAACGGCTCACCAATGGGAAGCCGTTTGGTGGCTCTGGTATGTGTATATATAATATGTATATATATATTATGTATTATTAATTATTGTTATATAGTAGAGATGTAGTATACTATAGCATGACATATTCGTACATATTTCTTCCAAACTGCTGTTAAAGGCGAGCGGGCACTGTGTGCACGAACGAACGCTCGCCTACACGCTTGAACACTAAGAGATATATTTTGAACTTAGATATTATGGGTTTGTCCGAAATTAGATTACTCTACTTACAATGGATTTCGCACATTTATAAACTACAATCGTTATTCCCATTTTGATAGCGGAGGGTACACCCCATTTTCAGACAACATGTAATCCAAGCCCAAATGGCCATGATTCTTCTTTTACACACGCCGTCAGCTACAAAGGCTGAAACAACTTCCTTCAATACTGAGTCTTGCATTTGGATCCATGCGTGCTTGGCTATGCTTGGCTCAGGATAAGACATGAAGGGCTTCACTGGAAGTGTGAGAGCATTTTCCTCGAGCTTGAAGTGAAAGGCCCACTCAGTTTCAAGCTGGCCTGTTGCCAAGGGAATGAATTCGATTCTCAGTAGCATCCGGTAGCATCAGTGAAAAAAAAGGTCCCAAACATGTCAGCTGTCAGCGCTCGAAATTTCTGGTTCACTACCACTTGCCTAGCACTTCCTTTAGCGGCATGTGCTGCCCTCTCATTTTGCGGAGCTCCTAGAAGAGCGCACAATTATAGACCAATCAAAAACAAGTGCTGAATGGCAGCAATCACACTTTACATCATACCACTTTGGGCTGGGGTGTTCATTCTCTTGATATCTATTGTATCTGTGATTTTTTCAAGCAGCATGTTCAGTTTCTTCTATGCAAATCCATATAGATTCTTTTTCTATCTTTTTCTGGCCCATTCTGCTAGGTTTGCATTTGTTTTCATGTAACTTTCCAACCAGTTGCCTCATGCCGAGTGCGGTCCTTCGAGGGTTTCACCTGCAAAACAACCTCTGGAAGGCCTTCAGCTTCTGATTCGGCCTTGACAATTTCCTTAGAGCGTTGCAGGTGTTGTGCCTACGGGAAGATTAAAAACATATGGGTGAAAACAAAATTACCAACCACCTTGGGTATATGTATGGTACGGCATGCTATTGTTTTGTATTGTATTGCACTATGGTCTTGTATTGTATATATATATATGTATATACATACTGTATGTATATATATATATTATATGTATATATATAATTATATATATACATACATACATTGATATTATACATAATGGATCAAAATCGGAGACATAACCAACACAATATGGGATATTTGGGTTTGTCTGAAAATGGGGTTTAGCCCCAATATATCTGCATTTGAATGATAATCCGAAGGTTTTCGGACAAAACCATATATTATATCACTTGACTGAGCCAAACTCAACGCTACAAGCGTAATCCTGCCAAAATTGCGTGCCGAGGAAGCTAGATCATTCTTGACTTCTTTCAATATTCCACCATTCTGGTCAAGGAACCGTAAACAGTGAATTCCTCTCCAACCTTTGAATCTTCGCCTCTAGCTCACTGGAACTTGGGCGCCTGCAGCACAGGAGCCAGGTGGCCACCCTGCGGCCCATGCCACTCCCATGCCACTGTGGTATATCATGTACTATCATGGTATGTCAGGTATGTCTGTAGATCCATGTAGATCCACAATTTGATGGGATTTTCTAGGATTTTCTAGGACCCATTGACCCTGAAGACCTCCTGGTTGTGTCATTTTGCAGCTGATCCATCTCGTGCTGAATGAGGACTAGCGACCTGAAGAAAAAATCAGCAAGCCCGGCCCGGCATCAGTTTGAAAGTAAAGGATGTGATCAGCAGCAACATTTAGATACGTTAGAGCAAATGTTGAAATTGAAATGCTCATTTTGCGGGGGTGGTTTTGCATGGTTCTCGTGTCAGACATTTCTTGGATTTCGGATCGGTCCTGGCAGCTTCTTTCCTCTTCTCGACTTGTTTCAGCTGCTTCTTGAGCTGGATGATCGTTTCATGAGCCTTGTGGAGGCCAGAAGCAGCTGCAGGGACAGTTCCCGAAGAACATTCTTGCCATCAACCGAAGCACAAGCCAAAGTTGCCAGAACATAAAAATCAGTCAGCAACCAAAATCAGCCAATCAGATTCAGTCAATCAGATTTGTGCCTCTTGCAAGTCTGCGCAACTTTGCACCATCTCTGAACCCGGTTTGAGTGTGGCAGCATTTAATCGGATCTGCTCGTGAAGCTCTTCTGCCTGTCCAGGGAGGTGTCCAGGGAGGTCCGTTTTTGCCAAGACAGGTATCAGGTATCATCCAATATCATCCAATGATACTAGTAACAACCACAGTATCAATAGTATCAATAGTGTCAATAGTGTCAAGAACGATAAGAATGATGAGAATGATGAGAATGATAAGAATGATGAGAATGATGAGAATGATAAACATGATCATAACGATAATAATGAACATGATAATGACAATGATGATACTACCCAACAATTATAAACAACAAAACACCCAACAATAACATACAATAACAAGAATCTTATTAACTATCATCCAATGGCAACATTGAAGCGACAGGTCATGCGGCTCGCAGCCTGCTCCAAGGCTTGTGCTGTATTCTCAACCAAGTCTGAAGCGGCTTCACTCACAGCTTGCCAATCTTCTCCTGTGACCAAAAGCTGTCCGTTGAGATGGTAGAATTGGATGTGGCCATGTTGATTCAATTGGTTAATACATAATAATACTGGTTAATGGTTTATAAGTTTATAATTAATCATGGTTTATAATGGCAATATGATTTGATTTTTGTATGCCTTTTCAATTCCTTTTTTATCGAACTTCTTTCACATGGAAGTGTAGCTCTGCAAGGGTCTATTATCCTTCTCCGTGCTCATCCGTGATGAAGCTTTTCTGCTTCAGGAGCCTCATCTGACATCTTTATTCTGACAAGATGTGCACCGGACCATCAAACCCTCGCTATGATTTGAGCAAAGAGGTAAACCATGGTAAACCATGGTAAACCACACACTGCCAACGTGGACATCTTGCAAAGCACTCTACAGTCGTTGAGCTTGAACTCCTTGCTGACAAGCTGCTCCAACCTGCTGCTGTGATCTTCTTCACCCAGAAACACAGGACATGTATGACGAAAGTGCAATGGGAGCTGAAAATGGTACTCGTTTCCAATGTTTCCATATGTTTTCCCCCTCAAATGGTAATTTTCCCCCTCAAACGGTAATTTTAATTTATATAACAATAAAATCCGATAGAATGATAATCAATCAGTGGATTTGGGTGCCACACAGTCCATTGCCTCAGCACAGCGAAGCGGTTTTCTTCTTGTGACTCCCTCTCTTGGGCTCGTTTAAGCCTCAGATCACTCAGATCTGTGGAAGAAATGCGTGGCATGGAGCGTGGAAGAGCATGGAATTTTGCAACCTTTTAGGATCTGGAAACGTTTGCAACATTATTGGTTGAAAACTGAAACATTGCAGGACAAACTCATGATATGTAATTGCATGATATATATATAGTCTTCATATCGTAGAACATTATGACATTCCGAAACATTGGTCCAGGGCCCCAAGCTTTTTTTCCCCCACAAAACAAACATTATTTTTGCAGAACGAGCGTTTGGGCAGGGCGTCTACACCCAAGTGACTCTCGGCGTAGGGCGTTGAGACCATGTATCGTTTCAAAGCGTTCTTTCTCGTGCGTGAGATTTCCTGGAGAATGTGCGATTTCCTCAAAAGAAACTTAAAGGGGTTGAAACTCCGCAATCGAAATGCTGTAAGCAAATAGAACACTTTTGATTCTGGAACGAATTAAAGCATACTGGGAACATGTGGGAACAATGAATCCGTGCAGTAAGATGTGAGGCCAAACAACCCAAAAACACCACTCGTTTTGTCAATTCATTGTCTGCCCCTGCTTCGACTTTGGCACGATGCCTTGAGCATTGAAACGAAAATACGACCGCTGTGCTTAAAAATGCTGACCTCTGATCCATGTATATCCAATCTAAACAGCATATTATGAAGCCATATCCAAATAGCATCAAAACCCTAGCAACTTGGCAACCATGAAATCAGATGGTCCTACCAACTTTGGATGTGGCAAACAAGTCAACAAGTCATTGAGGCACGGCTTGGTGCAGCAAAGCCTCTGACATTCCAACACTTGGAGTGCTTGGACCTAGAGGATGGCTGCTGCGCAAGATTCGACTGAGAATAGGCCTGGCTGATCCAGGCTCTCTGTGCACAACGAAAAGGTATGCCTGGAAATTGAGTATACCATAGTATACCTAATTTATGGCCATTTCAAAAGGGAAAATCATGATTATATAACTAGTAGATTCTGGGATATGTATGGGTATGTACCCGATTTTGAGAGAAAACCACTTGCTTTTCAAAATCTCAACTGTCATCCAATAGCTGACTACTCAGCCGAACCTCTGCCCTGCGCATCTCCTGCCAAAGCCGATTCTCTGCAACCTAGCAGGGTCTCAATAGCAAACTGCAACAAACCTATACATAGATGGACTAGTTCATGGGCACGTCTACTTTTGTCCAATGTATGTCCTTTATATATGCTATTTTATGATATGTGCATGAATTTATAATGTATGTATGGATGGATGGATGTATGGATGTATGTATGGATGTATGGATGGATGGATGGATGTATGTATGGATGTCTGGATGTATGGATGTATGGATGGATGTATGTATGGATGTATGGATGTATGGATGTATGGATGTATGGATGTATGGATGTATGGATGTATGGATGTATGGATGTATGGATGTATGGACGTATGGACGTATGCATGTATGTATGTATGCATGTATGTATGCATGTATGTATGTATGTATACGATGCATGCATGCATGCATGCATGCATGCATGCATGTATGTATGTATGTATACGATGCATGTATGCATGTATGCATGTATGCATGTATGCATGTATGCATGTATGCATGTATGCATGTATGCATGTATGCATGTATGCATGTATGCATGTATGCATGTATGTATGTATGTATACGATGCAATATAAACAGTATATATATATACATGAACACAGTATCTAATATATATATATATACTAATTATGCATGATTGTGATATATATATATATACATAAATTAGAACATGTCATAATATGAATCATCCACAATAATTTGCAATACATACTATTTTGTTACATGATAGTTATATGATGTTATATGTATTTTCCATTTTAATTGTCTGTATAGTAGTGACACAAGTGCCAACCTGCCTCGGCCTTGAACTCCGCAGGCGCAGCTGGCTCCGCAGCCGGTCGCGGCCGCGGTTCTGGCTGCCGGGCAGCTTCAGCAAGATACATCTGCTGCCATAGATCCCCCTGAGGCACATCATTGGTACCGGACCCACCAAAGCCTGGTCACCGAGCACTGGTATCGTAACTGTGAGATACTGTGAGTATCCAAGTTTAAGATATGTTAAGGACTTTTAAGGACTAATTTCGAGCCATACCCATCTAGACAAAACTGGAATTCATGGTTGGAGGACATATGAGGACTTACTATGACTTACTGGTACAATGACACGTCCATCTACTCGACTTTTTTCCAGAATCCCAATGACGTGCATTTCACCAACACAGAGTTGATCGAGCATGCCTCTGCTGGACCACATCTCTCTGCCTGAAACGATCTGTTCATCCAATGTGGAAACTGCAAGGACCTAAACTGCAACGCAAATGATGCAAGAGTCGCAAGAGAATAAAAGCGAACACTTTTACTGACGCGGATATCGATGGATGTCGAGGCCCCTGAATTTCCAGGTGACAACCCCTTTGGATTGGCCGGCCTCGTGGGGTTCAAAGGACTGCCACAAGTATGTACCAACCACACAGAACAGCATGAACAACTGTATCGATCTGTATCTACTTTAACTTCCTCAACTTCTTCATGTCTGAAACAACTCATCCACTCTTCTCACAACATGCAGCATCCTTTGAACCAATTTCAGCACAACAATGTTGAAAACCCCCCACACATGGCAGGGAAACTGAGAATTCCGTCATGAGTTGCTCGAAACACAACCCACGAAAGTTTGGGTTCTCGGAGATGTTCCTTGATTACGCAGTGATCATAGTAGTCGCAATAGGGGCTGATGGAAGCGGAGAGTCTTCAGATTGATCACAAAGAAGTGCATCCTGGAAATCCTCCTCAGACCTCAAAAACTGTGAATCATCGGGCCATGGATTTCCAACCTCTACCAGACCTTGGCAGAGACCTTGGCAGAGACCTGTGGCATCCTTTTTTGTATCCTTTTTGGTATCCTGTGGTAGCCTGAGCTCAGTTGCGGACAAACCCTTAGCATCTCCCCAAAGGTTCACCCAGTTGGTTGCCACATGAAGTGCGTTGTCCTCTTTGATGTGCTTGCTCAAGTCCTGCAGGAGCTCGACGTCAAACCCTGGGCTATGTTGCTGGTTTTCATGGATGTTTCTTCGCCCAAATATGGTTATCATATGGTTATCATATGGTTATAATATGTTATAATAGGTCTTGACCCATCCCCAAATATCAGCAGTCCACCCTATCATTCCCTATCTTCCTTCACGCTCAACAAGCCATCACCATCCACGTCAAGGTAGCGGAAAGCCAACTGACATACATCATTCCAGCGACCTTCCTTCAGCCAAGCCTGAGGGCATTGAGGGCACAAGCTACAAACATCACAAAGACATTGCATGTTGCGCTGCATGCCGCTCGGAAACCGCTGGCTTCATGCTCAGCTTCTCTGCAAGGCAAAAAATGTACTTCTCACTGGCCAGGCTTGAAGGGGTGTCCTGGAACCACTCCGAATCTTTCTTGATCGGGTTGAACGGGTTTCCATCAGTTTCCCTTGATCCATGACTTCCACATGTGTTACAGCGCAATGTTGGAAGACAGCCCCTGTCCAGTGCGTCCCATGCCACCGAAGCAAAGGCGAATTGCACCAGGTCTCCATGCAGGTCAGATTCTGCCTTAGGCAACGAGATGCACTCCAAAAAATGCCTTCAAGATGAAAGATGGATAGAAATGGAGCCAACCATTATCAATATCGGATTTCAGTATCTAAAACACGGCAGCAGTTTCAGATATTTCTGATCTCAGTACCCAAAAAACACTGGAGAACTTGCAATCAAGTGACACAGGCCTGTGCTACAGCCACCCATGCAAGGCGTTGCATTCCTCCACGCTTTGCCCAGGAGAGGCCTCGAAGGTCCGGAAGACCTCGCTGTTCTTGCCTCAGATGCCACTTTCCATGCCAGTGTCTTCCAAATACTTTATATACTTTCCATTTCCCTACAGATTTTCCCAAAATTTCTGCCGTTTTTTCCCTTTAGTTTGCCAGGGATTTTCTGCTGCATGACTTTAATGGTCCATGGTACTCGCTCATATAGGCATGTTGGCGCGCAGCTGCGGGGGATGGCCGTAGTTCGGGAGAGGGTTGCAAGAGTTGGGTGATGAACTCCTGTCGACACATTTGGGCGCCAGGGCGCCACCATTTGGACTCGGATGATCCAAGAGTTACTAAGTAAATCTAAGTAACGTACTATGTTCTGCTTCAACTCATTTCAGCCTATTAATCCCAAACCCATCAACAGAATTCAACAGAGGTATTTTCAACGGCCCATTTTACTTCCTCAAGTTTGTAGTTTCAGGTGCGACAGACTTTGGGCCCAACATCTTGAACCCTTGACGTCCTTGGCGTCTCTGGGCAATGCAAGCCATGGAGGCGACTTCTTGTCAAAAGCCCCTGCACACGGAATGAACCAAATTCATGAATATTCATGATATGTTAATGGTATACTGATATACAGTACATGATAATTTCATGACATTTTTTTATCCAAATTCATCCAATCTAAATTTATCTAATCAATCATTCATCAACCATTCCACCACGGAATTCCAGGCACCATGTCCCAAATCAGACGTTTTGCCGGGGACATTGAACCACGAACAGAATTGCCGAAGAATTCGAAGGCGCCTTTGGCCACCAGTCTGAGCACCTCTTCTTCCACCTGGTGGGTCGATGAGCCGGGTAGAGAAACGACCACATGGGCACCTTCTGGGCACCTTCTGGGAATCCTTCAGTTTGCTGGCACCGTGGAACGGGTTGTGTCCAACCTGCGAAGTGAAAAAAGAGACCACTCAGTGTGTAAGATGTGTAGGCTCGTTCTATCATCATAGCTGCCTTCCCGCTTCAATCCTATAGTCTGCTTCCAAATCTTCCAAGTGACCTACACCTCATGTGCAGCCTTTCTCATGACAGATGAGTACCACAGTTCTCCAAAAAGTTCTCAGTTCCGCAGAGGTATGTCGCAGGATCTTCACACCATGCTCAGTCCGATGCCAGTAGCACATAGATAACTACTCCGGCACTCCACATGTCCGACTTGCCAAGTACAGCTCCTGGCGGAAAACCGATGGAATCCCCTTCTTTGAACACCAAAAATAGCTGGCGACATCAATTCCCCCAGATGGTCCATTCATGTCCCACGCGTTGACAAAATCGCCCTCTGTGATCTAGTGACGGTCCTGACTTGCAAACTACTCCTTCCACCGGGGGGTTCAATTCCGGTGGTGCATACCAAAGAGATCCAGCACCCTCTGGAGAATTCATAGAGGGATCAGCATGACTTACAGCCCATCCGAAGTCACCTTCGGCACAGTGACTGAACACTGGAAGCTTTTTGGAGGCGTCTAAAGCACAGGCCCATGGGCCTGTGCCATGCTGGTTTTCAAACACCAAAGTTTTGATAAAATCATATCTGGATAAATATCGATAAACTATCATACTTCTTCACAATTCATAATAAATCACCCAAGCTGAGCAGTTCGACCATTGGATGATTCCCCTTGCTAACCATCATTCCCAGATCATATGCCATGCTCATCATTCACAACTGCTTTTCTGTTGCAGGCAAGCATCCCAGCTTTAAGTGAACACGCTCCTCTTCAATGCCTTATCCAAATCCATGGCATGGGCCACTTGTGGATAGCAGCTACAAAGAAATAACCTTGATCTTTTGAATCTTGGATTCTTCAAGTTCAGAAATTCCAAGTTGATCCTTGTGCCCAAGAGGAACCACAGCAATTTCTCCAAGGCTGTCTCTCAATAACATCTGTTTCCCCGAAAGTGAATCAGTCCCAGTGTCTGAGGTCATATAGCATCAAGTTCTCGGGCTTCACATCTTGATGGATGATGCCACATTTGGCAACATGCTCAAGTGCCAGCAATAGTTGCTGTGTGAGCTGAGAAGTCAACAAACGACCAAACCTCGGTCAAAGGTAGGCATCAATGTCCGACTAAGATATCCTCTTGTGCGAACAAAAACATTGGCTTTCTTGTGATGATAATGGTTTGGACATTGAAGGTTTCTATACCATATATATACATATATAGTATAGATACATATAGATAAATGTATATATATATATAATTATATATATATGGTCCCGTCCTCCGTCTCTCCACCCACCCACCCCCCAATGGGTTGGGTCCCAGGTAGCACCCCCCCTTCCCTTCTATTTGCAAGCTATTGGCAGCATTTCTGAGGTCCAGCTTCGTATTTGCTAGGTCTTTGCAGCATTTCTGTCTACCAGCCTCCCATTTACTAGGTACATGCTACCTTTTAGGGGACCTACGTAGCACACATACTCCCTCAAAGTACCTACTTCTACCTATAGTCATATAAACATGTGCTATGTATCTACTTCCTATTTACTACCTGTGTACTCTGACAACACTACATGTGTTTAACATATACCGTATCTACCATACATTCCAATGATGCCACGCATACCATACCTATCATACCTATCATACATACCACACATACCATACATATGAAACATAGTTACCACACCTACCATGCATACAATACCAAACATACATGCCATACATGCCATACCTACCTTACATAGGAAACATTCCATACCCATCATAGTAACCATACATACCATACAGACCATACATACTGTCATGTCAAACATACCATACCCAACAGACTTACATACCATACCTACCATCCATACAATGCAAACCATTCATGCCATACACCCCATACCTACCATACATACCGAACATACCATACTTTCCAAACATGCCATACCAGACCGACCATACACACCATACATACCCAACACCATACCACACCCCCACCACACCACAGGTAAAGAGGGGGCAGATCTCATATGGAGGCAGTATATGGATGGGACCCATCCCATTGGGGGGGTGGCAGGGCATGGTGCATATATATATACACGCATGTATATACATATGTGGTACTATAATATATATGTATATACAATTATACATATTCTCTCTCTCTCTCTCTGAATTAATCTTTACGGCTTCACCAGTCGGGCTTTATCTTGGCTCATCCTGACAGTTTGTCATACTTTCCGCAAAGAAATGGGCCTTGAGACAGGCAACTGGATCTTAGTTTTGTAGCGCTTGATAATCAAGTCATAGAGGGTGAGACCTGCCAGAGGAGCGTGGGCAAGCGAAGATCAATTCAGCTGAGCTCTACCTGCTCAGTATCATACAACGAAAGCAGAGGCTGAAAGAAAGGCGTCTTTGTGGAAGATAATCCTTTTCTAAGCTGTTTGAAATTCATGGCCGTGAAAGACGCATTTTGCAGCTGGCGTGGAACGATCTGTGAAGGAAAATCAATGAATGCCAGCCCGTAAGCGTCGGCAGCGTGGATCCAGCAGATTTCTCAATCCAGTGAGCCCAGCAACTGTCGCAGTACTCGAGAACCAGCACATCTTCCGAACCGCTGTAGCTCTCGAGAAGGCGAACAATATTTGGATGGACACCAACGCGTTTCAACCTGACACAGCCGGCAGAAATTTCTATGAATGACATGATACCAGAAGCATCTTTGTAGCATCAGACAAACACAGTTTTCTTCCAAGGTACGCGTGCAGCTCCAGCTGGAAAGAGCGAGTAGCAGGCTTTTTGAAGCGTTTTATTGCCACAGGCCTCTCTTGTGTGATGTGGCGGGCTTCAGTTGGAAAACCAAACTGCGAGGGTTGAGAAATGTTTTAGGTGTCTCTGTTGAGTATAGAGTGAATCAACAACAATTATATAAATAGAAGATATAAGCAACATAAGCAATAACATATTCTTGATCCATCTCTCTGAGTAGTGAATCAATGATGATTAATTAGATAGAAGCAACATATAATGATAAGCTGTAAACAACTGTAACTACAATGTGTCTCTGCTCACTAAACTATCTACACTTGAAATGCTCCGATCCCCACCCTCCATATGCAGAATCCGCCTGCCGCTTACTGAAGTGAGGCCCAGCGGAGCTTCACAGCTCACACTGTAACACCTCCGACGGGCGATGACACTTGAGCAGCGAAGCTTCACTGTGGATCACTTTGAGATGATATGAAGAGCCAGCACAAAGCACAGGAAACCACGGAACATTCCACCTACAAGACTCCGTTCTGATCAGTTCACAGAAACCTCTTGTACATTTGTATATTTTGGAAATCATTCAAGCAAATGTTGGGACACAAGACTGCAAGGGCAGGGAATCTTGCAGTTTGAATCAAATTTTGGTGGCATTTTTTCAAGTTGTTGCACTATAACAAATAGGGCCTTGCCTAAGCAGAAGGACCGAGTCTTCTTTTGGCGCCTCAAAAAAGGAGGAGTTGTGAAGAGGTTGTGAGATGTGATGGTGATGGAGTTTGGGGGAACCATCCCAAGAGAAAGCAAGTCTTCCAACCACACTTTGGAAGGGTGTGTGACAATGTGGGACAGTATACAGCGACATATCTATTCGATCCGTTGATTGCACTGATTGACTTGCCTTCTCTGTCTCTGCCCGGAGCACTGTCGCAGTGGCCCCCTCGCCGAGGTCCTCGCAGAGTTTGTTCGGGAAGCTCAAACAGGGAGGAGTCTCTGGGCTCCATCGAATACAAGTTTTTATATTATTTTGATTTATTTTGTATAGTTGTCATAGTTTCTCGTCTTTTGTCCATTTAACCTCGACGTGAAACATACTGAGATCAGGCTTCGCTGATGCCAGGTGATGTCAGCTCAATATTTTGGATGTTGGTGGCTCTGAGGACAATCTTCAGTCACAATACTGACTGGATATTGCAAAAACACTGCACAAGCTCATCATCCTTACTTACACGGTGTATAACCACTGGATTTCCTGGCTCTTCTGGGACTGAATGGACCGTCAGGTGCCTGCGAAGAATGATATTTTGCTCGCCAGCTTTGGGCCTGAGCACAGCCCCAAATTCTGCATCACACCAACTCTGGTACTGTTGGACTGCTCACATTGGAATCCGACAAACTTCAAGATCGCAATCCATTGGGCTTTATTTGGGGTTTGTTCTGACATTCTAATTGGATTGGTTTAAGGAAAAATCGGAATTCGAATCATAGTTGGGGATTGTAAATTTTCCCTTATACCAATCCAATGACGATATTCTCCAAGCACGAGCAAACTAATCAAACTATGACATTGCCATCGCTCTCAGATTGCGACCTGGCGATGCACTGCCATGGCACTGCTGTGCAACTGGACCGGCGGGTCTTTGCCGGGAAGCCGCCGACGTGGAGCGCGGGGCTCCTGAAAGGGGATGCGATGGCACACTGAGCGAACAGACTAAGCACACTGAAGTCACAACTTGCGTTGCTGGATCAAATTCTTATTATATCTTGCTGTTTTGAAATTGTTATATATAATATAATATAATATAATATATAATATAATATAATATAATATAATATAACATAATATGTATTATATTAATATTTAAATACCTTTTCAATCCTTTTCATATCTTTTGATACTTTTTGAGAATTTTTGAGATATCTTTTGTACAACTCACAAGTCACACTGTGAACTCTGTCAACTCGTGGCGGCCTTGCCCTTGGCCGGAGCCTTCCGCACGCCGCATTCTGCGCATTCTGCACTGCATTCGTTTCCCATGGCATCATGGCATGGGCACAGAAATGCCAAGAACAAAGGCTGCCTGGAAATCTTCTAAAGCTGACCATAGATCGGACATTTTTACCTGGAAATCAAGTAGGATCGGATAAAGATCATGAAGTCAGCGCCAATCCAGCAAGCATCAGATTAATTTTGCAGTCTCTCGCTACTTCCAAAATTTCCCGCACTACAGTGCCTAGCATGTTCCCATCTCAACTCCTGACTCCTTTGTAGATTTGCGCCACTTGACAGCAAAAAGATCCAAAAAGGATGTACTTCGGTCACTGCTGTGGGTGTGTGATCGGCTTACTCGTCATCAATAAGCCATGGTCTACTCTACGAGCTGTAGCTTGAAGGGTTCAATTCGAGCGGGCCAGGACGACACATTCAAGGGCATTTAGGGCTTGGTTTGAACTTTCGGCAACTTTAAGGTACCCAAAAATTGAAGCCAGTTTGAAGCCCAACTGGTCATCCCGGTCACCCCGCCTCACTCTGGGCAAACGGCACGGAGTGAGCAGCATCCTGAACCGGCAGGGCATCTTTCTCCAAGACTCTTGTCCTGCAAAATGAAACCCTCCTCTTACGACTCGTATAAGACAAAATGAAACAACATGAAGCAACCGCATCTTATCTATCGTTTCTGCTAAATGGATCTAAATGGACAATTTGAAAATCGTAGTTCTTTGCTATTGCCCCAAGCCAGCCTGCTGTGATGTAGCTCTGGCGAACTTCTTCGCCTTGGCACGTGTTGACACTGGAGGAAGTCCCGTTGAATTAACCTCTTGTAATCAACCCTCTGGCAATTCGACATCCCCTATAAATGGAGGCCTTAATGTTATAAATGGAGGCCTTAATGTTAATGTGAAAATTCTGTTGAAGAATGTTGGGGGACGATCTCTGAGCTTTGAAAATTGGTGAATGCAACCCGGGAACAAACGACTTCACCTCAGCATCAGACCCCAGGCTGCTGCAAGATCGCTCGCACGGAAAGAGGACGCTTCCGTTTTTCCATGTGAGCATGCGCAGTCTTACCTCAACTATCCACCTTTTTCCAATGTGTGTCTCTAATCACAAAAACCTCTTCCCTCGTCCTTCTGATAACGAGTCTGCATTACCCAAACATCTAAAGCCTTTTGAAGTATGAATGTGAGGAAAGTGGTGTTCATTGGTAGTTTGAGGGAGACATTCTGGACTCTGCAGGCAGATATGGGCTTTGAAATGGCTTTGGTACCCTTCTTAGTGTAGCCCTGACGTGCCTTTGCTACGCTCGGATTGCTGTCTGTGTTGGTGCCACCCCCCAAAAAAAATGGGCCTGGAAGATCACAGCGAAACTCCCTGAGAAACATGAAGAAACAATTATGGGTGAATCTGAAAATGGGGAATACCAGTATACGGTATACCCATAAAATAGCACTTTGGATCGCACATATATGCGACGATGATGATTATCTGATTAACATTGATTAACCATCAAAACTGAGGGTATATTCAGACACACCCGTATGTCCATCTCACTTTGCCGAGTTTGCACATGCTCCAGCTTCTTATTCAAATTCTCTTGACCTTGCGGCCCAAGTGACTCTAAGTGAATATAGTGAATCAATTGGACAGGTTCTCGGCTTAATCCTTTCCTTTTTGTCCACTATTGCATTGCTTCAAAACGTGTAGATTCACCTTGGAGCCTACACTGATATTGTGATGGATTTCCACCAGACCGGCAAACTATGGTAGGTTTTAAACACTTGGAAGACTATTCTCTGCCTGGACTCAGCTTTCTTATCTTTCTTAATTTCATTGGAACCAACACATGAATATTTCAATCGGCTTGGCAAATGACTGGTTGAAACAATGGTTGAAACAATATCAAACGAGCATAGCTCAAATGGCTCAAAGATATCCAGTGATATCCTGAATCTGCTGCTTCAGTGGTAGAAATGGTACTCATTGAAGTCGCATGGCCTGGTGTCTTCTCTGACACTCACCCTGTCCTATGCGCCATCCATACCATGAGGATCCATGAGGGACTAAACATCACTTACCATTCACTTACCAATCTTACTACACTTCCAAGATCTTCCAAGTTCATTTATGGGAAACATCCGCAATTTATGGCAAGATATGGCAAGTGTCATGCTGTTCAGGATGTTGTTTTACTTGGCCAAGGAGCACATCGGCCAAAACGGGCGAATCCGGGTACTTCTGCTGGAACGTCTCCAGGAGCCGATCGACACGTCGCTTGTTGTCAGCAGTACTGTGCTTGTTGTTCCAAAAGGCCTGGCTTTAAAGTGAGGACCGGACGACTGACCGGGCTGGTGTTGCGGATCAACATTTTGAAACCAATTTCAACACGACTTCTAATATATCTTCCAATCATTCTAATCCAAGTGACTATGCCAATCCCCTTGTCACAAAGCCAAGGCCGATATCGACAAAGAGTTTGGCCATAGCCGAGGCCGGCGACATACCTTGCAACAAGGGAAGCTCACCAAAACGCCTAAACATCTCTCTGCCTAGCATAGCATGCTGCCAACGTTGAGACTGCTTCTCCGATCTCTCTATCTCTCTCTTGTTGGGGAAACCTGTCCCACACACACAACTACAACAGCAGCTACATTTTCTTGGATCACCATTTCACTCTTTTTCCGTCTTGAGTCAATGAAAACGGCCACAGCCCAGGAAATTCGAAGACTGAAATAGGCTAACTCCCAAATCGTCCGGTGATTTATGATCAGTTTCACCATTCAATGGCAACTTTATGTTGGTCAATCCTCCATTTTCAGACCCAACTTGAGAACAGCTACTCTTTGCCCCCTGCCCGCATGAAGCCGCCATAGTCCTTGATGCCAACCACTTCCTAAGAGATCTGAGAGCTGCGGGCCAGTTCACCTGGTACCCTTCTGTTCACACCGAGCTGGGATTTAATCACGGGATTTTGTATCATGATCCAATAGGTACTGGATCCATCCCACATATCCCTCAAATCCCACATTGGATCCAATAGGACTGGGTGCAGGTTGAGGCGCGTCAACAGTAACCTGACCCGCTGGCTCATAGTGGTACGTGCCTGAAGCAAGGAGAACTTTAAGTTCTTATATACATGTTCTCACAGGACATTCCACTCTTCATGATTAACTGAAAGAGTCATCAAGGCCAGATACTTCCCTTTTCGGTCTCTTGATCTGAGGATTTCATGCAGCCTGTACCCTCAGCAACTTAAATGGATCAAACTGCCTAATTAGCTTCATGAGAACGCCTTTGATTGAGGCTTCTTCTAAGAACACCTACTACAGATTAATACAGTATTATTCTAGTGACACTTCTGAATACATTGTGTAAAACATCAGGCAGGTGGCAATCACCTTTGCCGGTTGGTTCACCCGGGCATGCACCACCAGGCAGCTCTGCCACACACCTCAGGGGCTCGCCGTTGGCGCAAAGGCGCCTCTCGAGGAACTGGCTTTCTGATCAGAACGAGGCACTTTTCGGAGTGTTCCTTGTATGACTTGGTGTAGCAAGGCCCAGGGAAACTATACCTCAGATGTGAAAGGAACTCACATAGCCCACAACTGCAATGGATCTTTGGTCTTTGGAATCTTTGGATATCGCCTGACAACCAAAACGCACGCTCCAACTTGGCAGCTGCTCCTTTGCCATGGTGCCAGGTTGGATCACCGTAATACTTGGCATCGGCGAACTGGGAGGTGGGAAATTGGTACACCAAATTGCAGCCAACATTGTAGCCATACCTTGGATCTTCACTCTCTGCACATGGACACTTCCACGGAAAGATGCAGTTTTGTTCTAATGCGAAAGCTGCTGTCACTAGGAAGGAAAACAAAGAGTCTAAACAAAGCCCCACACGTACATTTTATATATATAGACTGTACAAATGCACACACACACATATATATAATATAATATAATATAATATAATACAATACAATATAATATAATATAATATAATATGATTATTTATGGACATATGAAGTGCGCACTGGGCAACCATATGTAGGGACGATCTGATGAACACCTTGGTGTAGTCATCAACAGAACTGCCTTCAGCTCATGGGTTTCTGATGGTTGTGAAGGGGTCCCATGCCAGGTCACTTGTTGTAGTCAGCTTCACAATCACCAGGGCCTGTGCACTTGCCACTGTCAAAGGCGTAGCGAACACCGAAGTCCATGCCTCTTCACCCGGCTTGTGCCATCAACATGAAGGGTAAAAACATCCAAACCTTGTATACATCTGAGATCATTTTTGGTAATTTGCATCAATTTGCGGACTTGCCAAATCTTGTCATTCGGAAGGACACAAGTCCTTCTCAATCAGAGGGTGGATTACCCACTTGGCATTTAGCAGCCCTCAGGGTTTGGATGGAAAATCATCTTTTGACTCTGACATTTAAGCTGGTTTGTTCATGTTAAGTGGGTTAGTCTGAAAATAGGCTACTCATGGCTACTCCATGGCACCCCCAATCCCAATGGGAGTATGATCATTTTCATTCATTTTCCCATCATTTTCCGGAATAAAATGATTAAAATGGCCAGAACGGTGCCAATAGCGGGGGGGGCCATCCCCCGCTGCCTTTCTTGAACAAGGGTTCTGGAGCTTTGTACTGCACTTTGAAGCGCACGATCCGAGTGATGCCAAACTTCCGGGGAGTGAAGATGATCACCTGAGACGCTGTCGAGGAATGCCAAGGACAGGTATTTAAGAATGGCTTTCTGAGGCGAAGTGGTCAAACACATGTAAACATATGTAAAAACTCTTCCACACAGGCAAGAGCAGTTACAAATTCAAAGTACTAAACAGGCTGCTGATACGCCCAAAGGAATCTGAAAATATGTCCATATGTCCATATTGAAGTCAAGCCAGGAATGTGCACCTGTACTTCATCCTGTTTCACATTCCGGGATCTGAATCCGATTGCTTTTGAAAAACCAGCCTCATTGTGAAGGTACCACATCACGCCAGCAGCGTTTGCAGCATTCACATTCTCCAATGGGTAGCTGGAGTCACTCATGGCTCTGTACCTTGGATTGTCTTCAGCCAAGCTGGAAAGGAGTGGTTATTAACCATTAACCATTAACCATCATTAACCACCATTATTGGTATCCCATTATGATCCCATATAATAACAATATTTTAATATTAACCATATATTAACCATGTGCAGCAAAGGTGCACATAGAACTCAAGCATTGGCGCTGAGCTTGGGAGAGCCAATGACCGCAGGAGGGGCATATACCTCAAGACTGGAGCGGCTGAGTCTGGCTGTGTTTGCTTGAACATCTGCTACAAGGGATCAACAAGGGTCTGATTTTTTTCTAATATCTTCAACAAACATAAGAAAGGCAACTACAATTTCCAGCCTTCCACCTTTTCACTGTTTTTTCCGCAGTGTTTCTATATGTTGCTATGTATTGGCTGTATTTTGGTATCTAGACTTCCAAAACTTGCTCGCAACGCAGCTGCCGAAGTGCCTGGACTTGCTGTTGTCATCTTTCATTGCCAGCCCGCTTTGGTCCTGGCAGAGTCGGACTCTGTCCGGAGAGCGCGATGTGGTGATATGCAACATATCAAGCAACAAATGGCTTTGTCTGAAACTAGGCTACCCATGGCTACCCCAACTTTTGATGTGTTATCTTCATTTTTACACTTTTACCATTAAACACACATTAAAACCGATTAACATCGCAACTTTTTATGGGGTCTCCCATGGTCTCCCCATGTTCAAAGAACTCCATGCAGAGCACTGAAAGGCCTCGGTGGAAGCAGGCTGTAGATTTGGGAGGTCTGCAGTACTTGATGCATCCGGAGGAGGTGGAACTGAGGAGATCACACCTGCAGCTGGAACAGCCATAGATTCACTGTAGATTCACTGTAGATCGTTGATCTTTACTGCTTTACTTTCATTTATTTAAAAACTTATTTTCTAGATTTTGGATGATATTTGTATTTCTCCCACTTCAACGAATCAAACTTCATGTCTTCACACTCTTAAATATAGTGCTATTGGTTTTGAGATGCTTTGAGTACTTGACCGGGGGTCTCTCCCCAAGTCCAACACAAGGGTTGGCTTTGGTTTAGTCCAGTTCCACTTGAGCACTTGACCACTTGACCACCATCCCTAGCTGCAACAGCACAAATCAAAGAAATGCACTGAACGATTCAAGCTAAGACTTTTTGGATTTTTCGATATCCTAGCCTAGTGAGGCCTAGTGAGGCCTAGTGAGGCCCAGTAAGGCCTAATGACTTGTGCTCAATCCCAAACTCGGACTCTAAAACTACTGACCCTTCCAGGCCATCAGTAGACTCCCCACATTTCACCCAAAATCAAAGTCACGAAAAATATCCAAAGTTTCAAGGGTCCACTCAAGCCATGCTGCAGGTATGGAAGGATAGGGTTGGCCAAAATCCAATGCCCATGCATTCTGCTGGTCCGCTAAAGCGATAGCGGCAGCAAGCGTTGCCAGGACCGCAGAAGTGGGGGCAGCTACCTACGCCGATTCTCCACAGAATGGCCATCGCATAGCAAAAATAGAACCAGAAAAACCACTGGGGTTGACTGGGAGCTGCACAAAGCATCTCAAATGGATGGAAACTTGAAGAGTCAAAATATATCAAAGCACCATGAAAATGATTGAACAATATTGAACATATTTCTTAGTAGCTCAAACAGAAAACATGTAGGGACAACATGTCACTAGCGCTCACTACACTCTCCAATTACTCCTGTAGACTTGGGATGACTTCGGATGACTTGAGAACCATTTGCAGGTAATTGGACGATCAAGCGGCCAGATTTGCTTCCGCACGGTCTCCAGCAATTTTGAGCGTAGTGCCATATTCTTGGTCCCGCACCCAGCATGGCGTCATCTATTCCTGCATCCAGCTACCAGCAGAGCTGGGCTTTATGGCAGAGAGTCATAGAACTGTCATATATAGAATCTAGACTCGATGCACACACAAGCGAATAACGGTTCCTGTACCACACCTGCGCGCAAAAACCCTTTAAGTATGCCGCGCGCCACTTAGCTTCAGTATGCCGCACGCCACTTAGCTTCAAGATGCTTCAAGATTAAGGACCTTGAAACAGCTCAGAACATCCACTTTGAAGTCAAAGCTGTAAATTCATCCAATTAATCTCAACATTCTCAACCAATCCTCTCAGTTTTATTGTCCGATTTTTCATGACACATCTTCCGAGCCTTCAGAGTTGGACATCATGCAATCCGCACAACCTCCCACACCTCAGCCAAGCATTTCATCCCAGATCTCCACTGGTTATGCGTGGCTTGAGAGCATCAAGTTTCAAATGTGTCCTACAAATGGACAAGAAGAGACAAGTCGGCGAATTCTGAGCAAAAACCAATGCATTTTGGGCTTTTGCTCACCTGCAAATCAGTGTGTGAATGTCCGTGTGCCATATCCAATGCCCCTGCTCAAGGCTCCCAAGTCTTCACTCTTTGCTTCCTATCTTTCAATGCCAAGTGGCTGTTGTTCTTGGGATCCTCCTCTGCTAGCCAGTTCGTGCTGAGTGCAGCTCCTGACAGCCACATGATGTTCCGCGAAATGTACAAGAGATTGGATGCCTTGAGAACAAATGAGTTCTTGTGAAGATTTGGGAACTTGATTCTTTCGTCTTGGCACATTTATACTCAGTTTTGCAATCATTTTTACAATCATTTTACACTTTTTTTAAATGTATGAACGTGTTACAAACATTATAAATATACATATGTACATAGAATACATATATACATAGAATACATATATACATAGAATACATACATAGAATACATACATAGAATACATACATAGAATACATTACATTACATTACATTACATTACATTACATTAGACTACATTAGATTACATGACATGACATTACATTACATTACATACATATATGTATATATATATATTCACGTCGCTTCGCGACGGCAACCGCCCGCACCGCATCGTTGGGCTCACACAGCAGAGATATATCTATATATATAAAGATCATATATGTACATATCGAGTGAACGGTCCACACTGTTAATGATGTCAGCCATTGTTCTCTTCTACTGCCATTGTTCTCTTCTATTGCCGTCGCTCCGCGACAAGAACCCCTGTGCGGCCGCCACGGTTTGAACGATGTTGTTCTCACACCTTCGCGACCGCTCGTAACTGCCAATGATGTCGGCCATTGAGACCAAAAACATCCGAAAGTACTGATTGTCGGAAAAAGAACGCGAAGAATTTGATAGCCATGTATAGCGGACCAACGCAGTTCAAAAAATAGCGAAAAACATGAAAAAACGGCGAAATTGCTGTTATTTACAGTGTTTTTGCGCGGTGAGAAGCAGAAACCACTGCAAATACCATGGTTTTTGAGGGTCAGGTGGCCAAAAACACTGTAATTTACAGTGTTTTTTTAACCAACGTCAAAAAACACTGGTATTTACGATGTTTTCATTCACACCGTAACATAAAACAGCGTAATTTACGAGGTTTTTGGAAGTTTTGAAGCTAGCCGTCAAGCATGCAGAAAACAGAAAAACACTGTAAAAACCAGTGTTTCTGCTATCACAAAACGACGAAAATCAGTCCGAAAACGGGTCCAAAAACTCAAAAATCCGCCTCCGGGCCAGGCCACCTGCGGAACCGCAAAAAAAGATGTTGCAAACCAAAAAATTGAGGTCAAAAAGTTGAAAAACACGGGGTTTTTTTCACTTTTCGCTTGCCGATTTTGGACGGGCGCGTTCACGAACAGGTGTCTTCCGTACTGTTTTTTACAGTGTTTTTTGAAGGCGAGCGTCACGACCTATCAAAAACAGGAGGTTTTGGCCGAATAATGGCCCCCCCCCCCCAGGTAAACCTGTAACCTTTTACGAGTGCCATCCGGACGATCACGCCCCAGCACCTTCGGTGCGGGCGGATTTCCGCTGTGACGTTCCCTCCCCTGCCTTGCAGTTGCAACGCATTTGCAGCGCAACTCGCTCCCATGCATTCATCATCACGTGCCAGGCTCTCTTGACTCAGGTCGGCAGCTGCCTCTTGCAGAAGCCAAAGAGCTATGCCTCGAGGGGCGGTATGGAAAATGAGGGATTCACGTCCCGGGAAAATGGCCAAACACCCGAAAACAATAGGGAGAACATGGATGAATATGGGATAATGATGGATAATGATGGATAATGATGGATAATGATGGATAATGATGGATAATGATGGATAATGATGCATAATGATGATTATTTTTTGGTATCCTTTGGTTGTCTAAAGGGCTTCACCATTAGACAATCTTTTTTTTGCAATGGAACGACACTGAAAGATCTGAGTCCTATCATTTACAGCGAGGAGCGGCGGATCAATTCAACTAAGAAGCTCCAGAAGCGCATGGTGCCGACGTCGGCCAAAAACACTTTTGACGGAAGATAGGGAAGATAGATGCCGGGAAGCTAAGCCAAGCCAAGTTGAGCCGAGATTTTGCCAGACGGTTGAGACAGTCCAAAGTTGTAATATATATATACATATCATATATACATACGTACAATAATATGTATGCATCTCTCGGTGCAAAGGATGATATAGGTTCCATCATGTTGTGTCAACTGGCAATGAGCAAGGACGACTGCACAAATAACCATGCATGCAAAGCGCAAAATAAGATGGGAATCATCATGCCAAGAATAGAAGACTTCCGAGAGATTCGAAAAGCCTGTTTGAATCTGCGCAGAACACCATTGCAAAGAGAGCCCTTGGGAGCACACAGAGTACTTGGCTGTTTCAGCCACTAGGGTCCGGCACCATTCCAACACCTCCGCCACATGCCCGCAGTCGACTTTGTGCCACCTGCAAAAACAAAAACTGGAGTACAAGAATGATCAAGAATGTATAAGAAAGATATCAGCGTGACACCGAGCCAAAAAGGGATGAACGGTGGGAGTCACATTATCAAATGATTCACTGCCAGAAATCATACAACAGGAATGCTTTGTCGTAGTATGTCGTAGTGCAAGCTCTGTTCTCTGGGAGCCTGCAACGGGAATGTTAAGAGTGTCGCCAAGGCCTTTGCAATGGCGCCGATAAAGAATGCCTCGTTCAAGGCAAGGGAAAGACAGAAAACTTGAAAAACATGCCGAAGTAAGATGTTTCCAAGCATGGCCTCTGCCGCAGAAATCTCTGCAGCATGCACATAGAGGGCTTTCAGGAAATCGTAAGCAAAGAATTGGATGACCTTAGGCGTAAAGTCGTAAAGCACTGCGCGATTCTCAGGAGTGTGGCTGCATCATGTCTTGAGAAAACTGGACCCAAAGTCCCAGGATGATCATTGTAATATCATTGTTTGGTGACCGAATGTTGCTTGAGAATGCTTGAGACAGCTTCATGCCAAGAATTTCTTCTTTGGAAATTAAAAGTACTGCTTCAAAGTGGCGCCAAGTGACGCCCCAAAAGGGCGACCAAAATGTGGCTCGGATCACAAGGGGACAAGGGGCTGTAGGGACGATAGATTGAGGCTGGACTAAGGCCTGCTCGTATTTGAATATGCAGTCTACAGTCTACAGTCCACACAATTTGTGATCTGATTCTCTTGATTTTTAACAGATTGACATCTGGCAGCAACTTTAAATGCGGTGCAAACCAAATGCGGGAAATCAGCAGAATGTCAAAAACACTTGCAACACTTCGAAAGTGATCAGTGTTCAGTGCGTTGACCACACCTCAACAATGGCTGCTTAGTTCCGAAGTGCGTGACAGACAATGGGTTCCCAACCGGATTTGTCACCAACCACAAGGAGGTTCCGAGACCGCGCCACAACGCCCTCACCGACTGCAGCAATCTGCATCACTATCACTGCATCAATTCTTTTCACAATTTGTTCAGATGTCAAATTTGTTGACAACTTGAAGACACGCGTCCTTATCACTTATCACAAACATCCTTGTATCACACGGCCTACAGTATCCTTCCATTTCGAGCCTTGCACCCTCCTGTGCCCAAATTCGATGCACCTGGCGCAGCTCTGGCTGTTTGAATCTCCGGCGAAATTTTGCTGGATGGCCCAACATTCCAGATTTGGGTCTGAAAATTGGGCATCCCTAAATTTTATGGATCATCATGGATCATCCATTTTTTCAACATGTTTTTTTTTTTGCGGTATACCGGCATGCCCATGCATGCCCCATTTTCAGACACACCCATTCCATTGCAGATGTAGCCATCTGAAAGAGTTCGACCGTGGCAAAAACTCCGCATCGAGGGGCAACTTCCTTTGAACCTCGGCTTTGAACTGTCCTGTAAGATCCATCATCCTACGTAGATGATGAATGCCAGGGTGAGACACGATTGGAAAACGTCAGAACTTCTGGGGTGTTGGGAAATGTGTACATAACCAGAATCATAGATGGTAGCTGACAATCCAAATAGACGTCAAAGTACACAAATGATCGGATCATTCTGTTCAAACTTCATGAGTCCCTGATATGCTTTAGCAATTGACACGTGAAACTCAAGGTCCGTGCTTTCCGTTGCTCCATGCCGCTGTCCTTGCAAATTAAATTCACATGGAGCAAATCTATCCAGACCGCCCCGAGACATGGAAAAATTGAAACCAGGGAATCGGGACTCAGTAGCATCCAGGTGTTTAATGCGTGCAGCGTGCTAATTATGGTGCTAATTATGGTGCATGTATATAGAACAAGTGGCCAGAAAAATAAGCCTCCTGTCCACAATGAAACATCAATCGTCAAATCAATTCAACATTCTCAAGCAAAAGGTGGCTGATAAACTCTGGCCAAAATATGTGCCATGAGATCCCAGCTATCCCCGTAGTCCTCCGCTGCTCGCCTGACACTCTTTAAATTCTCTGCACAGTGCGAAGACAACCTTCCACCCCAAAAAACTGCTACATAGTAACTTTTGTAAAGATGGCGAAGTGATGCATCAACTTTTTGAATCCTATGTTTGTATAGTTTTGCAATTTTGGTGGATCTTACTTTTCTATGATCTATACTGTATACTGCATGAATTTTACAGTGAGTATTCAAACCGTTGAAACTTGCGACTGAGCAGCGTCTTTTTTTCTTCTATTAGAAGTGTGCGGCTTGATTTGGAGCTCAGCGGGACTGGTCAAGTGTGTCACGCACATACAGCTGGAGCTGTGCCCTGTTGCTGCAGTAGCTGATACAACATGTGTCCTATGACCAGGATGGGTTCTCTTTGACAAACAAGCATAACAAAAAATATCAAAACAACATATTGCAGAGCCCTTTCAAAGAATATATGCGTTACATCCTGCAGTCACACTTGCCTATCCCAATCCTAGAGAGGCAATAATTTGCCAGGGTCTGGAGCTCCTGCTAAGGAAGCTAAGGAAGTGAGACGAAACCAATCCCTTGGGAGGGGATGAGGACCTATTGGGAATGCTAGAAACGTAGACATGCCGAAACGGAATGGCTAAAGACAACGGCTGAAGCAATCTGATAACACACCACAGTGTGGTTCAAACAAACGCCACTTTCACATCTTTCACTCTTTCTTCACGCAAGCAACCTTCATGGCGTCATAGCAAGAGTCCTCCTTGGGATTCAGGACAAGTTTTTGGATTTGACAGCCCTCAAAAGAAATGAATAAGGAATATTGATGAATACTAAGTTGAATACTACAAGCAACAGTTACTGAAGCATTTTTTTCCGAAGTCCTTGCACAGGCAGTTGTAGGTGCCGAATCCACCGAAAAATCCATCGCACTTCGTCTCCCCCAACGATGAAGGGCAATTCCACATCTTGCACGATGTGAACGTATTGTGTTGACAGAGATGCTCTGCTTTGTCATACTCTGCCTCTTTGACACATGTACCCCTCGTTGCGCAATGACCAAACTGACCTGATCAACGAAATTTCAGAAATGCCGATTTGCAACTCATTCTATGCAATTTCCCCACTTTGAAACCTACCAAATGCTGACTGCTAGATTGACGAGGAGTTTTTCTTAAAGCTAAGCAGCACATGCACTCCCCAGAGAGGCAGTCGGTTGGACCGCGGTCGCTATGACATTTGAAGACTCTGCACTTTCCGTACCTTAACTCGAAATAACTCCAATAGGAATAATAGGAGTTGAGAATAGGGCGATAGGGCAGGGAACAGCTGTCTAAATCCACTAGTGAAGGTGACAACATGTAACAACTAGAACTGTTTGTCCGCTGGAGTCATTCCCGATGTTGTGGTCCAATCATGTCCAGTCATTTTAATTCGAAATACCAACTAAAATAGCTCAAACTCGGCGAACATCGACGTCTCTGCGCAATTAACAGAAGCCCAGCTGCGTATTTCTGGGACAAAGAAAGGGTACAACTGTTGGAGGCTTTAACGGCAGCGCTGCGAATTGTGGAGTACTTGAATCTTCGCAACTTGCCTGGCAAGCGAGAGTTGTAGGATCGTAGAAGGGGGTCTCTTTCTCGCATCTCCTGAGCTGAAAAATGTGAGCACGTTTTCTGGCTCAAGCATGGCTTGGCCATGGCAAAACGGCTCATTCTTCAGGAAACCTCCATATTTCATGTAAAACTCCATGGTTTCCGGTTAAGATTTTCCCACCAAAACCAGTCCGTTAAAGCTTAGGGTCAAGCAGCTTAAGACACTTTACGCCCGCAAATTACACATGGTTTCAGTATGTTTCAGTGTGGTGATGCGGCAAGAGGTGAAACTTGGGTGAGTCTTCATCGGCAGAGCATGGCAGAGCAACATAGCACTCCTCGAAATGTTAATGGACCACTTAATTCAAGATTGATGACAGTAATGACAAGATATTAATGGCGATTATATAATTATCATCACTAATTAATGAGAATAAATAGTAATTAACAGAAGTCATCAACATTAACGGATATTAATGTTGTCTTTGCAGTGAATATGCTGAATCCTGTGATGCCTCTACCAGCCAGCCACCGCCCAACCGATGAAGAACCAATGATACCGTACAATTTATATAGCATAAACATAGCCTGCAAACAATAACAAACAACATGATACTGATAACCTGCAAACATACCATATATGTATACTTACCCCACGGCCGGGGTGCCGCCCAGATGTTTATCATGTGACTATATACATGTGTATATATATATACACTGACTATTATATATATACATATCAATCAATATTACACATAACATGATACTGTCCAACACAGAGATCTAAGAATAGCCTGCAAGGAATGTCACAAACCTTGCTTGTCGCGGTCTTTTCGGCTGGTCCGTGAAATATCGGTAAATTTGCTGCTCAGCGTCACATACTCTGCGCCAATGTGGCAGGCAGTGTCAAAGCAGTTTTGGCACAACATGCACCCCACAGCGCCTCGAAGATTCTGGCAGAAAAAGACAATGAACTTCCGCGGCAACAAAATGTGAAAGGAAACCATATGGGGTTTAAGAGGTACCCCAAAATTGGATGGTTTATAATGGAACATGCTACTAAAATGGATGATTTTGGGGTACCCCTATTTCAGGAAACCTCTTCTGGTATATTCCGGGCCAAAGGGACGAGGCGAGAGATCGTCGCATACCTCGAATGCAGGAGGTTTTTTTCTCTCAGCAGTCTGGGTCTTCAAATGCTGGTGCTGCTTGTGCTTTAATGTCCGTGCAATTTGTCGGATGTTGAGATTCAACCAAGCTTCCTCGGATTTGACGCATTTGCCTGAGAGGCATGGTAGTAGAAGCAGTATCTTGGAGTCTTGGATAAACAAGTGACGAAAATCACATCGATGGGAGTTTCAATCATAAAATCAAAACAACTAATAGTAGCATTCTAGCACTTAGAATATTTTGGTTTAAATACTTGAGCTCTCGGGTACTCCGTTCGAGGCCCGGGTGAACATTTCCACAATATTCTATCTGCATGTGGTTTCTTGCACTTAGAATATTCGACATTGAAGATATCAATAAAAACATTGCTTCTTAAAGTGTGGCATTTGCAATCATGGCAATGCGAGTTGGGGAGCACTAAGTACTCAAGCGGGGTCGGGGTTAGGTTCTTTCAAGAAAACACTTTATTCATGTAACATCATTAACATCTAGATTGTCTTGAACCAAGCTATGAAGGGCCGTTTTTTGAAATGTTGAAGAGTTGCTGCTTCTGAGCATGTTTGGGGATATAGACATTGAACATGTGATCACATTCACATGATCTTTTAAACATTCTAAGTGCAAGGTTTTTATTGTGTTTCCTCTTCCGAACATTTCGGAGAAACCACTCGCATACACAAACCAAAGCAACAAGTAAGATTCACAAAAAAGTCAAGTGACTTCAAGGTGCATCAGATAGATACATCATGATACATTGACTTTTGCACGGTACATTGAAAATTAGGTAGATACTAAGATACAGTAGGTTATACAGGAAAACCATCGAAAACCAACAGCCATGGGTGGCATTTGAAGACGACATGAATTGGAACGTACAGCAGCATGTCAAAGGGATGTCAAAGGGATTGATCCGGCTTTGGAATATTCGAACTGCTACTGTTCTCAGAATATTCTAAGTGAGGTGTCGTATCATTCTAGCTGCATTGGTTTGCTAGAACGTTATTATAATTGCTGTTTTGCTAACCCCCAAAAAATGAGGCAATTTTTGCTTGGATGGAATGGTTAAACCCATCTATGTTCCAAATGGCTATATACATAGGCAAGTGACCTGCTGCTCGTGTAAAGCAAATACACACCAGTACTTAATTCCATGCAAATCCCAAACATGACGTCGGCAATGTTTGCAATCTATTCCAATCTCTGATCATCTTGACCGATTTTCGAAAGATGATGGCAAAACATGACACCGTATCAATGATCAGATGGGCAGGCATTATCCAGCTTGGTAAAAGGATGTGAAAGCACTGCCCATAATCATCGTCACTCCAGGAGTTCTGTTTCATCCCCACGCGGCCCAATCCCCAAACCAGAGAAGTCAACAAACGCAGCATGGTGCAATGCCCTTCTGAGAAGTAGGGCCGATCTTCTGGACACTTTGTCCACTGGTTGTTCCCAAGGGTGCACCTCAGAAGAGAGTCTCATCTCGTGTCTGGCTACGAGTACCACCTTATCAGACCTTATCCTCATTCCTTTGTCTTGTTCAAAGTTCTATTAAAGCTCCTAATGCACTCTTTATGTAGCACATTGGCCACATTCAGGTTGAAGCTCTGGTGATACTGGTGATAGCTCAGGTGCTCTTTCTCATGACACGGGAGGCACTTCATCATCTCCGAGGTTTCAGCGATTGCCTAAGACCAAAATCTTCACGACTGACATGGGAAATAGGGGAAATCTGTGGGTGTAAAAACCATGGAACCGCGGGATTCACTGAAAATGCACCTGCCGAGCCGATCATTTGGGTGTGTCTGAAAATGGTGTATGTACCCACCAAATGGCGTACAATGATCAACTATCATCAACCATGATCAACTGGATTTTGGGATACCCCACGTTCGACAAATTGAGCCAAGCAACATCTTTCACTTCAGCCTACGCGGTTGCAAATGTGTTCGGGACCGGACAGTAAGGTTGCTGGCATTACAACCTGTGAGGCCAAATAGCACTACAGTATACTACAGTAGCTACTGTACAATGTGACAACATGTAAGAACCATGAGTGCTGTACACCAATGGACTTTACCTCTGCAATAATTAACCGCAGTGCAAAAACATGCAAAAACACAAATGCATACAAATGCATCTTGTCTGCCAAAAAGGTTTCTGCGCTTTTACCAGCTGCATGCAAGTTCTCTTGGATGCTCTTGGTAGTTATCGTTATTTTCTCCTGTTCAGTTTGTGTGTTTCGTTTGGCCGGCGTTTGCACAGTTCTTTTCTCAAAACGTACAAGTACAGGACGTTGCTCCGACAATTTTGCTTTGGACATGTTTGTGACTGTGCTGGTAATCCAGGTCCATATGACATGGCTCATTACAGAGTCTGTTACAGTGGGCAAACTGTGATGTGACCCCTTTCGTTCCACATCCATTTCCCTTTCACTAGACAGGTAGCTCAGTTGCCTACGAAGAGAAATAGGAAGATGAGGAAGAAGACACAAATGCATACAAATGCAGCATAAGAAGAAAAGAAACAGAAGAAAAATAAGAAGTACACACCTCTGTTTGGGAATGTTTGGGCAGCGGGACTCATTTGGTACTGTCACTCCGAGCTCATCTGAGCGCTTTTCAATCCTGACTCACTTGCCTGCGTCAACATGTGTCTGCCCAAGTTCAGAGCAGCCAATGCCAGGACTGTTGCAGCTGCCACACGGGTAGCCAATGAACCCTTCCACCGCGGTGTTGTCACAGGATCCTGCAGCTTCAACAGAAACCAGCCAGGACCTGGGAGAGTTCATTGCTGAGTTCGGTCCTGAGGATGTGATTCAACCAGAAAACCTGCTTCGTCACCGACATCATAGTCTAGGTTCATGTGTTTGCTTCACACGGCCTGATGTTGCCGTCCAAAGCTCTTTGAGCAATGGAAGTTGATCCAACGGCTACGGGGTCATTGATGGACATGGTGCTGGTAGCAGTGACAAACATCTTCACTTCAGCTTGCAGGTTACCGTACACATCTGAAAATCCGCTCCCCAAAAAATTACTAAGGGAAGCGCTCCGCTACAGTGCAAACACAATCAAACAAATGCAAAGAACCATAACATTTGCGAATTGGCCGAACGCCCAAACAAACACCTGAAGCATGTCCATTGCCGCCTCAAAATCACATTAACACGAAATTTATAAAGTATCGTTTGATGATTATATATGATTATAATTTAGCTTGCGGACACATTCAACACATTCAACACATTCAACAATTACCCTAATAATTGTTTGCAAATTTACGAGTATATAGATTGCTCTTAACTCCTTATTTCCCATTTTTCAAACTGTGTCATAAAACTATCTACTGGTATTGCTTTGGTTATTGCAGAATCGGCTTGAACCGAAATTAGTACGTGTACCGATATCTTACACAATAATACACAATATGACAATATGTATAAATACATGCGTTCAGCCAACCTCAACTTCAGAAAACATCTAATATATGCACTCAAATGGATAACAACACAATGTCGTCAGTTCCCCACATCGCCTGAGCAATGACAGAAGCGCGCCAAAGAGGCTCAGTGAAAACCTTTCGCCCAGGGCATCCAAGGTCTTGCTATGGGAAGTTTCTGATGTTCTGTTCTGTATCTGCGAATCATTCACTGCATTTCAATGCATTTCACTGGTATATGGTATTCAATGGCATTTTTGTTCAGATTCAATTCAATCGCGCAAATTTGGCAAAAGCCGAGTGGAAGGAGGGAAGTATCCACACTGTTGAGAAAGTGACACGTGGCAAACCATTATAGTCCGTGCTTTCACCATTTTGTGAACGAAGTCTTCCATGTTCAAACCTTTCAAATCTGTTCTGACGATTTCCCAAAACAAAGGATCGGGCCATGTTCAAAGCACCAGCCAAAGCAGAAGAGGCTAGGGTCTCGTAGGAGCCAATGATGCCTGAGACCCAAGAATTTTGGTGGGATATTCTGATGATAGGAAAATGCCATTTTAGTGGATTTGGGGTACAGCCGATTTTTGGAGAAACCTCAAGATGACCTGGTTTGACTTGATGATCTTGATGATTTTTTCCAACCTTCCCTCGCCTTTCCCAACCAAGTCCACCTCCCACCAGGCTTCCCAGTACTATAGATACTAATCTGACAGGGTCCATAGGTTTAGGATGGTTTTAGGTCTGTGGAAGCCCACCCTTAACAAATCCTTTGCTCATCTTGCCTTCTTCACGGCCAAAAGCATGAGCTAAGGGCTCCTGTGCTGGTAACAGCTTGGCATCAAAGAAGATGTGTGGAAAGCAATCTGCTACAAAATCCTTGCATGTCACTGAGGCGAACGTGCCATAGATATCGACTCCAAGAGGTCGCACTGACAACCACGATGGACCAAGTTGGACCAAGTTGGACCTTTGAAATAGGGATTTCGCACACCTTACAAATCTAACAGTGGGGCCTGGAGGGGCAAATGTCAGCTGGAGCCAATTCAATGTTTTCTAGACTTGACCAGAACTCTTCTCGTGGCTCATCATGGCTCCTTAAGACCCTGGAAGAGAAAGAAGTACAAAAAGTTGGATGAGCCCACCGTTTGAAGCATTGGTGTGCAACCTTGGACTGCCAGCTATTTTCGCGCCAGGAATCACTGGTGGAATCGCACTGGGGAAGACACCAGTGTAGAGACCTGAGGCACCTTCATCTCGAAGCACCCGCCGCAAAACATCCAGAAGCCTTTGGGGCGTTTTGTGCTGGGCCAGTCTCAAATGATATCACATGACATGTGAATGATGAGTGATGTTCCAAATGCATCCAAATGCATCCAAATGCATCTTTGCAGTAGTTGGGCCATTAACTTAAAAGAACCCCGGCATCACAGAATTACTGAACAGTGACACATAGTGGCTGGAATTGTCCGAAAATTGTCCGAGACATCATCTTTGAATCCATTTTCAACTGCAGCTGATCTTAAGCCTCTGACCCATGGTAAGCCTCCGGATCAACTTGCAGCAAAGTTTTCAGCCGCTCCAGGGGGAAGAGCAGCAACTGACACGGCTTTGCTCAATGAGTCTGCCGGAAACTTGAGCTTTGTCAAAACCATTGGGACATATCCAAATCAACCACCTCATAGTTGGGTTTGTCCGAATATAGGGTACCAATTCCAATGGGTTTCCATCATTTTACCCTTTACAATATATTTACTGTAAATGTTCCGTTTTCGCCATTAATGATTTGGAGGGTATAATAGATTAATAGTACACACCCATTTTCAGACACACCCAGTTGAAGATTTTCTGACCATATTACTAATTCATATTACCATATCTTACCATGGTAACGCGACGGATGGCCCATCCTCCCACCATGATCCCCCACCGTCGCCAGCACGGTCCCTGTGGAACCAGAAACGGCGTGCTCGAAGGAGCACACGGAAAAGAGGGCCGGCATGGCAGCCAGGCGGCCCGTTCTGGATGTCTGGCATCACATGGCTTCAGAATCATTCTTCAGATTTGGAATTGTTGAATGATAAATGATGATCTATGGGAGAACATCTGTGCTGCATCTATCTTTTTTTCGCCAACACATGGGTACCTAGTCAGGGCAGCACTCTTCTTGCTGCAACATCACGTCCAAGCTTTGCAAATTTTGCATGGGGAGATTCCTAAAGGGAATCACCTGAGATTCAGTTTGTTGCGGTCAAACAGTGTTGTGTTATGTTCCGTCGATTTGCCAAACCTTCAGACCTGACACGTGCCCTCTCTGCCTCTTGCTCAAACAAAAGAACGCACAAACCGGTGACTGTGAAGTTTCACTGTGAAGGCGCTCTTCAAACTTTAAAAGAGAATCCGCTCGAAAAATGCTTTTGCTACTCCTGCTTTTCTCTCGATCGACTTTGTTCCTGATGCCAATGCGCTGCCAGCAGGAGAAGTCATAGACTAAAACAGTGAAAATCAGTGAAAGTCAATTCATTCCTGGATATTTTGACACGTGCGCCATGGACTTCAACCTGGCAACTTGCAGTGCAGCTTCTTACACCTAGGGCAGAACTGACACGTGCCAGCGACTTCAGATCTTCAACGAATGCTTTTCGTCGGTGAGACAGTGGACCACGTAGCGATCCTGACAGATGCTTCTTTGGCAGGGTGAGATGACGCGAGATGGCTTGATTCCTGCATCTCCGTGAAGGACAACAAGAAATAACAGAGCATCAAAAAAGAAAACGGCTGTGAATGACAAGAGCTGTCAGAAGCTAGGAGTATTGCAAAAAAAGAGTTGAAAGCGTGAAGATGAGTATATAGGAGGCGCAAGGCAGAATCCTAGAAAAGGAGGCAACCTATATAATTGAAGAAAAGAAGGAATTCATATCCTGAACACTGTGCCCTTGACGCACTCCTCATGAATTTCTTTTCCCCAGGAATCGCCCTTCAAGACATTCTTTTCTAATCTTTTTTCCAAGAATGCTAAAATCATAAATGCATGCTTCATGTAGACTCTAGTGTTCACATTCTTGCAACTGCCCAGCGTCCTCAAGCTTCTTCTGGGGAAGCATTAGCGTCGCCACCCCAAGCAGGAGGGTGCCACTTGGGGTAAACCTGATCTTGCTGAAATCAAGTGTCTAAGTGTGTGAACGAAAGGACGTGCAACATTATGCAAACCAGCGCAAGGCTTTGCAAAGGGTGCATTGGAATATGAAAGGTACGACAGGGAAACACCTTTGAAAATCAGCCGCGCCCCTCGAAACAGCACTAGGTTTTAGGCGCGCTTGTAGAGGTTCATGCAAACCGTGTCATCCTGGGACTCCATGCGCAAACTGCTGAAACAAACAGATCGGTGTTTGGTTTTCTGCCGCGCCTGCTTGATGTGAGCACTGAAGCGGCATTTCATGTAGCCATGGGTCCCCAAGGACTCCTTGATGTGGCCTGTGCACACAGACATACCCGGCAAGTTGACATACTGGGAACATTCATGCTGAACTCAAGGATGTCTAAAATCGTCCAAACAGGTTCATAATCTTCTGTCTGGCAGGGGTCAAAATGGGATAACTTTGGAACATCCCTGCATGAACACACTCTGACGACTTCAGCCCAGGCAAAAGCTCATGAACTCATATCATCGGAGCACCGAATTGATCGGTTGAGAGATTCGTTCAGAAACGCCGCAAGGATCTTCAAGGCAACATTTTCAACGGATTCCAGAGAATGCTTGCCATAACTTGGAGTGGGGTGACTGTTGAACTTGCTTGCCACCAGTTCATTCTCATGGGGCTTCCCCATTGTGTCACCGTATGTCACCGTCCTCGTAAGCCTTTCTTGGTGGAGAGTTCCACTGGCTTGAACCTTACGCCGCGTCCCCAAAGTCACTCGCGGTGTGTTTCGACAACAACCCTGCTCCCCCAACAGCAGAAAAGAAGCAAACAATTGTTTATGATTGGAAAAACAGCGCCGTAGAAAATTGTAAAGTCCATCCAAACACTCCCTTTTCTAATCAGACTCATCGCCACGATCCTTTCCAGCAAGTGGCCATCTGATATCCAGTGGATTGAAGAACATGAAGCGAACCTGCAGTCTGGTCTTGATTCTCCTGACCTTCCACTTGGAACAAACATGAAAGAACCCTTTTTCCAGCACCCAGCATTCCAGTGAAGCATGAAGTTATCTGGATCAGTTATATTAATTCAAGAAGCTGAAATAAGATCATTTGGATAGTAATTTATCCAGAAGTTGTCAATAATGTCTATATTTGATATCCAAAAAGTATTATGCAAACAGGATCATCATTTTCGGACTGCAATCCTGGCTGTTCCCAACTTGCCCCAAAGGATAGACCGATAGATCATCAGTTCCTGCAACTTTCAATGTCCAGCATGTCCTGAGCATGTCATTCTTGGGTCCGCACCACCGCTTTGTTCTTTTGGGTGCGAAAAGGATATCCTGCCACTGCCATCGCCGCCGTGCTGGCCGTGCGAAAAAATCGCCAAGTGAGTTGTGCTCCTGTGAGGATGATCCGCTTGATGATCAACTGCTTGGGATCCACGCTCACAATCTGGCGGATGGCGTGACTATATGTGACTATGGGGTCTGAAACAGACTCAAACATCTACTCAAACCATCTCTTGGAGTTCTGTCTTTGTATTTCTAATGATTCTAATGGAACCAACTATCTAATGTTGTGATCCTCTTGTGTCGCATCCAAACATGACTTCCATAGGCATCACTGATTGCACAGCTCAAACTTGGCTTGCATACACTTCCAGCCGCTGCCAGCTCAGGGGTTATCGCCTCAGTGCCAGCCATGGGCGACTCGTACTAGACACCAGTTGAGATATTTTTCTATCATTTTCTATCGACTAGCACCAGTTGATTAACACAGAACAACGCATCTTGGAGCCAAGCCCCCTCAGGCTGCACAGACATCAGCAGCCGACAGGGTGGAAAGACCTCGGTGATGTGGTCATCCATTCCACCAATTCCACCATGAAAATCCAGCCACAAAAAAGTAGATCCTCGTTAATGGATTGATGTTCATTCCCCATTATGGGCAATTTACCAAAGTTTTCACCATATGTTTGGGACTGGGACTTCTCAAGCAATGTGCACTTTGAGACCTTCCCGCATTGGCTTCCGGACCACTGGTGCATAGAACGAAGCACATGCTGTGATCTGGGTTCAAGCCGCGAGTGCGTACTCCGCTTTCAAAAAGCAAAACCACATCAACTCCATGCTAAAGCTTCACAACGCTCTGCGCTTTGCACTCGGATTGTTCTAACGTGCTTTCCATTCTAGTGCTTTTGTCAGCGAAGCCTCTTGGTGCAAGAATCGCATGAACTTGTACTTCTTGTTGGTGGAAGACTTCCTGTGAGGCACAAAATGATCTGGCTAGAGAATACCTGTGGTAAACTCATTAATTAAGCCACAGTTTTGGAGGGTGATACTGTGATACCACTCATTTCTGGTGATATTGAGGATATTTGAGGATGGTTTATGATTTGGATTCAACACATTAACAATCATTAACATAAATGAACCACCCCTGAGCTACTCTGCAATTTGATGAACAATTTCACTGCTGGGACGGACTGGCAGCCGTCATCAGCCGTCCTTGGGATCTCAGAATAGATTGGACGAGCTGAGAATCGTCTGAATCCTGCATGCATGACCACTTCGTCCTTGGATTTCATGACCTGCCAAGATCAATCCCAGTCACTGTCAGTCCCTCGGGAAAGTAGAGCGCAACAAAATCCCAAACAATGAAATATCATGGAAGCAATGAACCTTTCAGCTCCTATCATGACAACATTTCCGAAGAGCAAAGTTAGTCACCGTTGCAAATGCTTACACCGCTCAGCTCAGGTTGACACCTCAGTGTAGTCCTGGAGATTTTTTGGCACAACAGGCTGATCAACCAAATCGGATAGTGGTGCGCAAAGGATTGTTGTGCATCCGCTTATCCGATTGTTGATTTCTTTGCTTACTCATCCCACTGCGTGGATCTGCGTGGTGTGTACATCTCACATTCAATCACATTTACTTAATCTACTCTCTCCGGAACTTTTCTTGCAAGATTGACATCTAAATATATTTAGACAGTCTTAGATATACAGTACATTACAGTACTATCTTTAAATCAAACAGTAGGCAATCATGGCAATGGATTGAAAATCCCCCCTAAAAGCGGATGATTTTCCAAGGACCGGCAAAGATGTCCTTGATTCGGGTGACATGACCGTGGACCACAGAGACCTTTTGCTCGCAGTCAAACAAGCCGGACCTCACCACTCGAGCAGTGGTGAAGAAAGGGATTCCGGTTCATGGATGATTATAATCCTCAACTAACAAAGAGGGCTATATATATATATACATACATATATATAATATGTATATATACGTGTATATATATATAGAGAGTGTATGTATAGGGTACAAAGGCACGGGCACAAACTTTAGCTAGCCTCCTTTACTCGCTGTCTGCAAACCCTGGTTTTTTAAGGATACATCCATTGAGGATACGTCCACTTTCGGTGCCATGTCCGCCTCGAGTACAAGTTCAACCATCATCCATCCCCTACATGCACAACCTTTCGCAATCGCTTCGGACACACTTTCTTGCTCCTGCGTGCAATGCCAACCGTTTTCCTTTTGTCACATTCACCTCCAAGCTCAAGACTATGGGGGAAGTCTTGCACATTCTCTACTTCATCTCATTCTCCTTTCTTTGCCGGTACAAGTTCAACCATCAAGATCAACTTCTCTTACTTGGACACCTTTTGGCGAACTCTTCGGAATCACTTTCTTGTTCCTGCTTGCATTTCCAGCCAATTTCTTTTACATCGACATCATCTCCAACTACAACTCTTTGGCTTCAACTCCAACCTTTAGACCATGGGGGCAGTCTTCTACATCGCAATCTTCTTTTTTGCTGGAACGAATCTTCTTCGCCATTCTGAGCTGAGGGCCATGTCATGTCACTCCAATTCCAATCATTTGTTGTTTTCAAGGATAAACATTACCCTCCACCCGGATACAGCTTTCCTTCTAGATACATTTCTCACAGGACAGAATGTCCTCGATTATAAAGATTTATTGAAGATATCCATCCATTGAAGATGGGCCACAGGTCCGAATTTGTGAGGGGCCAAGACTGCATTGCTCTTTCTAGTTACACCGGCTCCATTTCACCAATAGCTAAAGCTAGCAGGGGCCGCTAGTGGTGTGCTGGGAGACCACGGTCACTCCATTGTGTCCATTGCCTCCTTTTCTTCCACTATTCTCCAAAGCGAGAGACACGTGGTAACGATGCCTCCCGGGACCGCACCTTCTCCTTTGTTTTATTTATATTTATTTATTGTTTGCTCCTTTGTTTCGATGGTTTTGGGGTCCACCTACACAATTCCATCGGGTCCCGTGTTATAGGTGCTGGTCAGCAGCTTATCCTGCAGCTTACAATTTCTCCTGATCTTTCCATATTCTCCTTTTCATTTTGTTTCTCCAACTGGCTGACGGAAAGCTGCCGCGGACGTGTAGTTCGTCTGGTACTGCACATTGCTGAAAGAAAGATAAAGGGTAGCACAATCCCCGAACTAATCATCCACCAACAAGGGTTTCGCAGCCAGTCACTTGATCCAATTCCCATGGCGTCCATGGCATCCATCCATGGGCCCAGGCAGGATGAAAGGCACACCCTGAGGTTGAGCATCTGTTACAGTGGGCGGCACTCCTTGCGCCAGAGACTGCTGGACTTACATGATCACATGGGTTTGTCTGTCTTAAATGTCTGAATGAGGAAAATGACAAATGATTAGATTATCCATTGGAATTGGGGGTAGCCTATTTTCAGACAAACGCACATACAGGGTGTAAATTCAGCGGGTTGCTTGACATCATCAAGAAAAGCGCCTATGGTGGCAATATTGGACATCCGCACCAAGGTTCCATGTATCATGCGATTCTTGATGCACTTGCAACTGGACTCCGCATTTGCCTCGTAAACGGATGCAGCAGTACAAAGCAGCCACCTTTGCGATGGGGCCCAGCAGAGAGATTTCGGGGAAGCATGCAACCACATCGACAATCAACAGGGTCCGCATATTCTTGCAAACTGAAACTGCTACTCGAGAAGGGAAACTTCAAAAGGGAACTGCACCAAGCAACATGGGTCAAAATGGATCAACATAGTATTCACTATATAAAACCGCTGCAATTTCAGCGGCTGTGGCCCCTGAAAAAGCTCCAATTTATAATTACAAATCCGTGCAAATCCCTACTTGCCAGGCAATATGGGGGTTTCCATAAATGGGGACACCGTAAAATAGATGGTTATAATGGAAAATCCTATTAACATGGATGATTTAGGACATCTCCATATAATTCCACATAATTCCATATGCTACTGGTCAACAAGGGCTGAGAGACTGGGCGGAGACTTCCTCACAACTCTCGATGTAGCTTTGTCGTGCTGCTCTGGCCTTGGGCCGCGCAATGGAATCACCGGACTCAAAACCCGGCCCTAAAAAGAAACAGCCATGGCTGGGGATGGGTCAAAACCCTGGTACCTAGTGAACATCAAAATAGCTGGGATTTATGGATGTTCATCCATGTTCATCCCACTAAAAATGGTATGTATAGGTATTGATCCATAGCCAAATAGACCAATTGGAGTGAAATTCCAGCAAGCTGTGAATCCCTTGAAGCCAAAAGATCCAAAAGTGGAATAGCATGGAATAGCTTGATACATCTCCAGTCCGGCCACTTTTGTTCTTGGGGACGATCGGGTCTGGCTCAGCATTCAGCCACAGTTGCTTGTGGAAGGTACGCGATTGTGGAATATACTGTAGTACATTGTAGTACTGAAACAGATCGTCTACTCAATTGTACTACTGTATCATACTGTATCATACTGTATCATACTGTATCATACTGTATCATACTGTATCATACTGTATCACCTGTGTCTTGTAGACGTGGCAAACTAAGCTAACACATGCAACTGCGGTGAAATCGCCTTCGCATCGAAGGCCTGTGGCACACAGCCGTGCAAGGCCCTGAACAGCCCTGCGCGTCTGCTTGTTCAACCGCCTTTCGGAAAGAGCCAACAGAAACAGAATCCCTCCCTTTGATCCTTTGCACCATTTAATCTATATTGTATAAAACCTATTCAACCAATTTCAAACATATGTTTGGGGAGGGAAAGGAATGGCAGAGTTTTCTTGACCGGACCCCAAACCACATCAAACCACCACGGAATCCTTCTTTTGAAGGTATGAAGATGGTTGAAAATTGACCACCCAGTGTGGTCAAGCGCGGCACGCCACCAAAGCAATCACCATCTCAGGAAGTCTGGGAAGTCTTTTGACACTAGAAACACCAACAAACAGCATCAAACAGCTGGTTAATGGATGTTTGTTCCCCGAGTTATGGTAATATTATGTAATATTGGGTTTTGACTCATCCCCAATAACTTTTCTGACCCAAAAAACACGGCGTCTTGTACAACCGGAGAAGATTACAGTACTGGCCAAGGCAAAACCAAGGACTCAGGTGACTCAGCTATTGATTCATTAAACTGCAGGCAAAAAAAAATCAAAATCCAATCTTCATGATCTCCCAAACCCTGGAAAAGTCCAGATTTAGAGCAATCTCTACCCAGTGCTCTGACTGCTTTGCTACTGGGCACCCCTTCCTTCTTTTGTAATGCAAGGCTTCGGAGAAAACACCCTGCTGACAGAGAAAGGCTTTAACAGAGATACTGTCGAAGTCATGGAATACGTTGGATTTCCGTGGAATTTCCACTTTTTTTCCAGACTTGGCCGAATCCTCCCACTTTGCTGTCAAAGATTGGAGGACTAGCGCATCTTCGACGTCTTAAAACAAGAGAGCAGGACGCTGTGGGAGTGCACTTTTTCATTTTTTTTTCCGAGCTCTAATCACTCGTTAAAGCTTCAGCTACAAATGAAGATGTGTTCATGCCCACTAGAGAGTATGTATTACTTGAAGAAGTGTCCAGGTGTTTACCATACCTTTGTACAAATGCTACAGTGTCCCTTTAACAAAACATAATTTCTGCAGAATATGCTAGATATCTTCAACATATTTTCAAAATACCCGTACCTTCCAACAAATGCAGTATTCAAAACAGAATGCAGCATACCCTTCTCAATAAGTGTAGCCTTCCTTTGGAGCAATGCATTGTGCTTTTGCAGGAACAATATCCCTACACAATCTGAAGTATTCCTTCATAACATACATCATCCCCTTTGGGGGAGTGCAGTGTGCATTTCAAAATGTCCAACCTGCCTTTCAAAGGAGCAATATCCCTTTTAGAAAAGCCAATGTTTCTACATAATATGCAGTATGATTGACATAGAGCATCCCTCTCAAAAGTGCAATATGATTGAAACTGTGAGCATTATTAGAGAATGCTCTTTCGCTTCTTACTACAGAATATTGTCCTGGATGGCAACACAATCTTCCTATGAAGAAGCAGCATTCTTGGAAACTGCATTACTTTTGTTTGACATGTGTACATTCCCCTTGATCAGCCCAGCCTTCATTTACTTTGGTTTAAAGAGACGACTCTCACTTAAAGAAATGTTTTCAATACTATCCTGCAACGATGTATTCTTTGAATCACATATCTCACTCATATCAAGCGGATGTTGCACAACAAACAACAGATTCAGGACTAAGGAGGACTAGACTCTTTCAAAAGACTTCCGCACTCATGCAATACACTATATATGCATATACGAGTATATATATATTATAATATATATATATAATATAATTATAATATATATAATATAATATCAATATATAATATTATGTTCAAAGAATGTGTCATTGTCTTAGGATTTAAAGATGCTGCATATTCTTCAAATTACACTACGTTTCAATAGGAGAGCTGCCTCCATCAAAGGATGTCTCAAAATATGGTTCGTTGTCTTAGAAGAATATCACTGATATCACATTGTATTTTCAGAAAAATGATACAGATTTGAAACAACTATTTTACATGCTTACATATACCATGTGTTCTTCATAAAAATAAACAATATTGTGAAAAGGGGGAATGCTCTACCGTTTGAAAAGAAATGCAAATCACTCCTTCCAAGGGACTCATTTAAAGTGTTTGAACATGTGTTGACTTACTGTAAGGGCCTGACTTAACAATGTAAACATCAATATCAGTCCTACAAATTCAGTGACTGCCTATGTTTTCGCATAGTTGTTTGGCACATTGTGAAACTAATTCAAGCGACAAAATTGCCTAATCCATGTCCCAAGCCCCTAAGCTTCCCCCAATGATACCTGCATGTGTCCATTGTTTTTACATGGTTTTCTAATGGAACCACAGACCCAAAGCACACTTTTTTCAGAAACCCAAAACGAGTTTGCACCCCCCAAGGTGGGAGAAGTGGCAAAGAGTTAGGTCCTGCCACTTTTGTGTTGTTTTGCCAGTCCTTCAAAAAAAGCAAACAACGAACCAGAAAACCAGGAAACCAACAACCCAAAAATCATGAAACCAAAAAAAGAAAAAAATAAAAACATGACAGGACCCAACTCCCCCCCTTGGGGTGCATGTGTTTTTGTTGTTTTTTGGTTTCTATTTTTTTCTGGGTTTTGTATGCTGTCAAGGTGAGATTGCAAAGAGCAAAGTAATCTATCACAGGCGCATAAAACACCTAAAATCGTGCACTCCCAGTCTTTAACAAAAGGGGTCAAGTCTGTGCTGGACAGTGGCACACACAGGAAGCTCCAAAAGGATCCAAAAGGATCCAAAAGCCACATTCTTGAAGAATTCGAACCAATTTTGGTCAAACTTCTGCAGCCAAGACTTCCCAAGATTCCGATAATTCAAAAGTTTCCAGACCCTCAAGAGAATTAGCAGGGAAACCAGCAAGAATTGGCTCTTGTTTTCGACACTGTTCCAACATGGCCGAAGCTTCCACTTTCAAAACTGTCACGGTTTGATTGGACCACAGACTTTCAATGCCTTCATGTCAAATTCTTGTCTTTGAGTCAAAGGATCTCTTCTCTTGGTCCACTCGTGAGACTCACGGACTCACGGGCTTGAAATATCCACCGAAAAGATCTTGCCAAGATAGAGGCAAAGTGTCCAAGCAGGACACCAGAATAACTTCAGACCCCAGGACCTGCTGGAGAATAGACCACCACACGGGTCCAGAAAATCGCGATGAAAAATGGTGCAAGGCAGCCGCGGCCACTGATTAAACTGCACTGCTATGCTCCAAGAAAAACACCATGGGCTTCAACTGAGTTCCACCACTGAGGGCAACTGATCGACTGGTGCACTCACTAAGTGACTGTGTACCTGAATGAGCAGAAGGAATTCTGATCGAAGTGAAATGTCTTGAAAAAGTGCATTGTCTCCTAGATCTCTTCAGCTACTTGTAATTGCGCTGCTTAATCAGCACTTGACACTGGACAACTCCGTGCCTGCGCTTGAACTTGCGCAATCATCATGAGCATTTCGAGGGCGCTCTTTGATTTGTGACTTGTAACCTGACCGACGAATACCAATGGTACAGTAAAAGAATTCACCGAATATTGAGATCATTGGGTATTTGTTGATCCCATGTGGTTTCTAGATGTTTCTACGGATTTCTACGGTGTTTCTACCATGTTAAGACACCAAAAATGGTGCTTCGACTGGGCCACCCTGCATGGTTTTGAGAAATGCCTCCCTCGTGAAGGCGTCGCCGCCGTCGCTGACCAGCAGGTGGCTTAGTCAAGGCTCGGACTTGCGAAATGACTTCGACGAAGGATAAAATCATGGGGATCGATCAGAATTTTAGAGGGAACCCACCAAAATTCCATATGTTGATGATGATGATGATGATGGTGATGATGATGATGTTGATGATGTTGATGATGTTGATGATGTTGATGATGATGGTGATGATGATGTTGATGATGATGATGATGTTGATGTTGATGATGTTGATGATGTTGATGATGGTGATGTTGTTGTTGTTGATGATGATGATGTTGATGTGGATGATGGTGATGATGATGATGGTGATGATGATGATGATGTTGTTGTTGATGTTGATGATGATGATGTTGTTGATGTTGATGTTGTTGTTGTTGATGTTGATGATGATGATGATGATGTTGATGTTGATGTTGATGATGATGATGGTGATGATGATGATGATGTTGATGTTGATGTTGATGATGATGATGATGATGTTGTTGATGATGATGATGATGATTTCGTTGATGTTGATGATGATGATGTTGTTGATGTTGATGATGATGTTGTTGTTGGTGTTGATGATGATGTTGATGTTGATGTGGATGATGATGATGTTGTTGTTGATGTTGATGTTGATGATGATGATGATGTTGATGTTGATGTTGATGATGATGATGATGGTGATGATGATGGTGATGATGATGATGTTGATGTTGATGTTGTTGTTGTTGTTGTTGATGATGATGAT